CTGTTGTCAGGTTGCTTGTTAGCTAGCTAGCTAGCTCGCACTATCTGGCGTCTGTCATCTGTCCTGTTCTGCCAAATTGTTGGATTTTTCACATTACAATAACACACCAGCTAATATAACTACGCTGCCTTGTAATGTTAGCTGGTCAGCTAGCTAGCAGAAGTCCCCTGTTGTCTGTCGTTCATCAAACGAAGCATGATGAATGCAGCAAATGAGATCGGTAGGATGAACTCGACTGGAGACTCCATTGTAGATGCCGGTTGGAAATGTAGATGGCTCGCAGCTTCCTGTTTAAAATAGTTACATATGCGTGAACGTAACCGACGCGGTGACGTAGTGAGTGGTGTCCCAATTCCTAGGGAAAGATTTCTACCCCAACCCCTTGTTGCTCCATTTTGAGGGCCAAGGGGTAGTGGGCAAGGGCTAGGGGTAGGGCCAAGGGCTAAGGGGTAGTGGACAAGGGGGGTATTGGGATTGGGCCTAAGTGAGGCCCGTTCTAGCTACTGTATTACAGCGGGATACTGTCAGTTGGGAAAGTCAGCTATCTACCTGTGACCGTCATATGTTAGGTGTTTCCTTTTGTGGTCACAAATGAAAGAAAAAACAAGAAGAGGAGAAAAGGGGGTGCTGCAGGGCCTCAATGGGCTTCTTTGCCTGGGGCCCTCCAGAGTATAGGATCACCACTGCTCAGGACAGAGACAGGACTGCGCCCTGCAGCGTTCTCCCTGGTGCGTGACTTTTTGAGAGAGGAAGACAGACAAGGAAACTCAGGAGTAGCAGGACAAAAGCCAGGTATGGCAGCTGTATTTCTTTTAAATCCCTGTAACCCTTAAATCCAAATAAAGCTTAAAATCTGGAGTTTTTAGCTGTAGTCTGCGCTAATTCCCTTCATCTAAAAAAACGTGGAAATATAAATAAGACAGATAATTTCTTTGATTTTATAGATAAAGATGTCACTGGATGTCAGTTTAACATCAGAAAGACATTGGACTCTTGTGTCTTATGTTAGACAGACGTTAAATTTTGGTTGGAATGAAAATCACGATAATGATGATTTAAGTGTCTAATGGCATTAGAATTTCATATTGTGTAGAGGTTAACATTATGACATTTTGCTGAATCTGGTTTTGCTCTCCATACTTTCCAGCTTAAAGTCGTTATTCTATGTGGCGTTGGCCTGAGAAGTTTGGAAGACACAACTCAACTCAACTTAAAACAAACAAAAAATAATAATTTGTCATCAGTATTCTTCATCAAATTGATGATGGTATTCCACATCTTAATGTAGAATTTTGGTCACCCAATGCTGCAACCTAAATGCAACCAGATATCAGCACCTAATGACACTGGTGGCCAGCAACACATTTTGCACCCGGTCTCCCTCCTGTCATTGAATACCGGTGCTTGGGCAGTAACTTCTGGCGTCAGACACCGACGAAAAACAGCTGTCTTTTCACATTGACATGACACACGGCCGATCACCATTATTCAGTAACAGCACCCGGCTGTGTCATGGGAAAACGTGGCCAGACAACAAAGTAAGTTAAGGGGGCGAAAGTCCAAGTAGGGTGTATGGGAGAGCACATGGATGGGTCCAACAACAAAGACTTTCACCTGCGAGGCTGGTGTTCGCATCCTATATGAATGTAAAGCCAAACGCTGTTCTTTTTTCTTAAACCTAACCATGTGTGTGTTGGCTAAATGTAACTATGTGCGTTTGTTGTTGAAGGAAAATATGTCAATAAGTGGTGTTGTACCAACTAAATACTTTTATTTTGAAAGAGACTGTATGCAAACTGTACATTTCCTGTAAAAGCAGTGTATTTTGAAAACAGACAGTTGACACAGCGTCCCAGAACATCAGCAACCAACGTATCCAGGGTACCTTGCACGTCAAATCTCGACATGGAAAGTCCATGACCAAAGATCGATATGAGAAGAGGTCAGAGTGAGAGTGTGTTGTGGGAGGACATCACATCTGACATGTTGCTAGTGATCCCTCACTGTACAGGAAAATTGTGTGCCCACAACTGTAGGAGGGTAAAAGTTAAAGCAGGAAGTGGGCCTGCAAACTGTGATGAGTGTTTACACAGATTCTGTTTGAAAAACCATTTTACTGCTTAGCATTGTTTTCTCTTTCAAATAACTTTGACCAACCAAGGTTTGTCTTCAATCAGTCTGATCAAGGGGTCCCTAGCTACTGTATCAAACCAAACAACCTGATTTCAGTTAAGGTGTTTGTTGTGCTGCTAGGGGTAAATTAAGGACTGATGTTTCATTTTTTCAGTAACAGTCTGTCTAGTGCAGCTTGAAATGATCAAAACAACACTGTTACCATTCTTCAGTATAACAGCAACGAGCAGTGTTGTGATGTTTCTGTGATGGAGCTCAGTCTTGGTGCCACCACAGTCTCAGAGCACACAGAGCAGAAACACAGAGCAGAGAGAGATCATGGCCTTGGTATTCGACCCTGTTAGCTCGAGCAGCACCTGAGGGACTGGATCCACCTGCCTGATTGGACCAGGACCTTTAGAAGTTACCCATTGTTAATATCACTGCGAATTGTATGGACGTCCGTGCCCCCCCTCTCCCTCCCCCGCCCGCTCTCCATGCTCTTAAAGAAAGTTGTCTGCAGAACATCACTGACTCTGTGGTTGTCACAGTCCGCTCAGACCCCCATACATCATGGAGGCTGTGTGAGAAATGAGTTCCTTTTCTTCCTCTGAAAGCTCCACAGCTCTGTAAACTGTGACTGTCGACATCCTCCTTGGTTCACGTTCACACACAGACACAGACACAGACACACACACACACACACACACACACACACACACACATACACACAACTGATACAGCAGTGCTTCTGCAGTAAACACAGTGACAAAGTAGTGTGTTGGAAATGGCTTTAAAGGACAAGAAATGGAACAAAGTTTCTGTCAAATTTACGTCAACTTTCTCAGTGTCATGAAACTGGCTGAGGAGTATTGTATCCTCAGTCAGCCAGTGAGAACAGTTCAACACTGCAAACCTAATGTTATGGCTCCCTCTACTGTAATGACAGGGAATGGAGCGACAAAGGACCATCATGAGTTGATGACCATGAAAACACTGCATGACATTAAACTGAGAATTCTCAAAACAGAAAGCGAAAAAGATTTCTATCACACCCCCATATATATCCACCAGTGGGGTGTCTCTACACTGTGGACACTTATCAAATTATATCTGTCTAAATGGGAAACATCAAAATACAGCCTGTTTTTCAGTTTCATGGAGTAAAATACTGATCTGCTGATGTAAAACCAGTTTGGAGCAGGATCTGAAACACTGCCAATGGACACAGGATAAACTGTGGGCAGCCCAGTCACCAGAAGAAAACGTGCTTTGTTGTTGCCAGGCAACCACCCCAACACCCCCCTACCATAACCTTCCTGTGTAACCAATCTACCGTTTATTTATCATTATTATTATTATTATTATTTTTTTCACAGTAATTAGTAACTAGTTCCTAAAATGAACAGTCAGAGGATGCTTGCTATAGCTCTGGTTGAGGGTGAGAGGCTGTCAGCAAATTGTTTGATTGATTGATCTGTGTGGGTACATAAGACCCTGAAAAAGTGAGTGGATCATGGGAAGTACCACCAGTTGGTCCAGAAACTTCACCTCTATGATGGCCATTTCCAGACATATTTTAGGATGACCCAGGGGCAGTTAGACAACCTGCCATGTCTCCATATTGGGCCTAGCATAACAAAAATGGTCCTGCCGAACAGTTGAACTGAGCACCACCACTTTCTCCGTCATTGTTTACCAACTGTAAACTTGTTGTCATGACCACAACAGAAGGCTCGCCTCTCAAATCATCCAATTAGACAATGGTGGGGAAAAGTGGAGATGACGTGGCACACTTTTAAGCTCTGAGTGGATGTTTTTATTAACCAAAGTAGTTCAGAGCACTCCGTCAAAAATACTAAGTGCCTAGAGCGCAGACGTGAGGTACGTAGGTAAGACTAATTAACTCAACATATCCTCATACAGCAGTTTGCATGATATCCATCAAATAAGTGACCCACAAATGACATTATGTACTTAGTGTAAAGTTATGGAGGTTAGGTTTAGGCAAGTAATTACTGTGGTTGGAAACATGATGATGATGTACCTTAAAATGACTCAAAGTTTACCCAAAATCCAGTTCTAAATGCCAGTCTCATGGGGAAAGTCCTATGTTTTGTGACCCATCCACGACCAGATCCAAGACTGCTTCACACTTTATTCTTTACTGCCATTAGCACATTTGTCACATGATCACAGCCTTCCAAATTATGTGGATTATGCACAAATTACTGGCTCATCATTAAAGGCACCGTATGTAAGAATGTGGCCAAAACGGTTACTGCACTCAAATTCAAAATACTACTGTGAGTCGTGTCCACCTCCTGTTCGAGCAAGTCCGGCTTCTCTGCTGCTAACGCTGCTGCGTAGCGGAGGAGGAGCCAGCTGCTAATGCTATGTACCAGGACACTGCTGCTTGCCGTGCTGCTAACGTTTGTTTCTCAAAAAAATCAGTCGGGTCGATGACCCACCTGCACATGGGATACAATGTATGATCAAAAATTGAAACAGTTGAAAGTATTCGAAATGCCCATCCCCATCCAGCTATGATGCTAGTTAGCCAACTTTGGCTAAAGCTTATCTGTCGAGGAGAAGAGTAACCACTTCGACATCCGATTTCAAATTCTTCTCCGCTTTCAATCGTCTCCACCGTTCAAAAGCATTTCCTATATAGACCCTCGCTTTGCCTTGAGTTTTGTCTTGTCTTTTTTGGGAATCATAACGAGGTCGTTTGGGTTTAGTCACACTGTCAGCCATTGTAGCTCAGTCATAATTGGCAACCCGGATGCTGAGACTCTACTGACTGTGTGACTGGTAGACGGCAGTGGGTGGCGCAACAGGCCAAAACACAAATTCAAAACATAAAAATGATTTGCGGACCTTCAAAAAAAATTTTAAATGCGAAAATTCTTCTCTGTTACATATTAGGAGGATTTTACGACTATTTGCTTTAGATTTCTTACATATAGCTCCTTTAAGTGAGATTTGTATGCATTTTGGTGGATTCATTTTCGTAAGAAAACGTACAAGCAGTGCAGGGGAACAGCCTAATTACCTAGTTGGTGAGCCAAGAACTTTAACTTTTACCTTTTGTCTCTCTTCTTAGTTTGATGTAAGTTGTTGGACTGCTAGATAGACAAAATATGTCTCTGGGTTATGTTGGTTTTGACTGGCACTATGTCACTGTTTCTAAATGAGTGTGCATTTACAAATTGTAATGGTAGCATGATTCAGGCTAGGGAACAATAATTAAAAGCTGTTTATAGAATTTAGAGGGGCAATCACAGAATCCCACAAAATGACACCTGTTAACATCAGATAAACTTATTAAATACATATTTATTCATTCAAATCTTTGAGGACAGAATAAATTACATACAAGGCATTAAGGCATTATTTTAGTTCAAAAGACACTCTCTTAGTCAAATATTTACCATGTAGAAACATTACATATAGCTACATTATAAAATAAACAAAATTGAAATAGAACACAGATGAAATAAAACCATCCAATCTGGAGCTCAAGCTCTGTAATATGCAGTCATCCAACAAAATCCCAGTTTCCCTTCAAATCCCATTGAGTGCTTTCCCCAGCAGACAAATAGACAGGGCTGAAAACATAATCTCCCTTCAACCTTATTTAGCAGAAATAAAAAAGATTGTTGCTTGATTAATAATTATTCCCTTCTGTGTATAATCTGGTGATAATTAGAATACAGTGAGCAGTGCAAAGATCCCATAGAGTAGGGCACATGGGTAAGCCACCAGCAGCTGCTGGCCCTCCATAGCCAGGGTGGAGATGAAGATCTTGGAGGCAGAGAGACTACACCAACAAACTGCTAACAAGGCCAGAACTGTGCCCAGGGCACCTCTGTCAAAACACAAAGAAGGAATCAAATTACTTTAACCAGGGAGTCAACCTGACCTGAACTCTGCATGTTAGTTTCACCTGACTGTTTTCTTTGTTGGTTTGACCAAAAACTGAGCATTAACATGTTTATTTGTCCACGGACTATTTTGCTGGCGCTGGTGACAAACTTGGTGGCTGATTGTTGAATGGTGGTATCAGTGTCAGGAGCTTTGGGAGTGTGGGAGTAGCTAGTAGGGCTGAGCGATAAAACAGTAACGATAATTATCTCCATATAAGTATCCTTGATAGAGATAATAAGTATTCGATAAATCCTTTATGTAATTAAACCACCTACAGCCCACAGAGGGGGCAGTAATGCACCTTAAATGCCAGTTCAGTCATGACCGCATTGGTCAAAGAAAACTTTATTTCCATTTGCAGTATTATATTTGGCAGTATGGCTCTCTTCTGGGGTCTCTCTGCCTTTCAGACATGTGTGCTCTCTCCGTCCTTCCATGCACCTACATGGAAAGCCCGAGGCAGAGAGAGCACACCTCTCTGCCCTTCCATGTGCCTAAATGAAAAGCAGGGAGAGCAGCAGCAAAGACCCCCTGGGAACAGAACAGAGCCAGCATCAATGACGAACAGAAATGACACTGGTAAGTCAGACACAACATGACAAGGAGGAGCTGGGGTGGAATCGGGTTGCAAAGCAGCTTGCAGAGGAAGCCGCAACAGTAGGCAGGCCATTGCCAAAGTTTAGATAGGATGCCTTGAATGATGTTTGCCAATTGGTTGCACAGAAAGGAATCATGTGATCTATCAACTGACTCACTTCCATTGGTCATCTGATCTATGAATTGATTGGGCTGCTTGAGATCAACTGATGTAGCTGGGATGAGAGCTGAGCTTGACATTGTGTCCTGCCTGAACTAATGCCATGCACAATCTTCTAACTGCCATTAACCAGAAGTAGAAGAAGGAGCAGCCTGAAGTTAGCAATAGTAGAAGAAGAAAATGGGACAAGCCATTAACAACATGCAACACGTTCATAAAGTTAATTTTAGTATGATTGTTGAGATCATGTAGACCAGCACTACCTCGAGATTGAATTCACCACATAGCGTTAGCTTCAGTAGCTGTATGGGTTGTTGACTCGTCTAATGCTAATGGTAAGTTAGCAAGTTACTGTGACTAACTAACCTGGCTATTTCATTAGAATGACATGATATAACATGACTAAAGGTAACGTGAATACAACTTTCATGCATTTTCTCATCCGTAAACATGACTTCTGCCACAGTCACGTCAGATAGATATTCATCAGCAATAAATGACCACACATTACCTCACGGCATTATCAAAGTCTATCTTCTGTTATTATTTTGATTGAAAAACGGCACAAATTACTCACTCTGGGGGTAAGACTTGTACATAAAATATGAAAGAAATTGTTTTGTCTATTTATTCTGTTTATATTTTCAGCTTTCAGCTTGTCAGTGTTTTAAACAGTCTGCACAAAGACTTTGTCTATTAATTTTCTTATGTATTGACATTATTTTGATTAAAAATGGCATAATTTCAGATTTGTGAAATGTTCTACTGTTTGGTAAATGTTTTTCATATTTTGACAATAAATTAAAGTTTAAACCATAATTAACAGTCCAGAATCTCAGAATTTCAATCAGAAGCAAATATTTGCCTTTAAACTTAAAAGAAATATTGATTTTGACTTTTTTGTATCGATATTGACTGATATTATTATTTTTTTTCAATTTCAAAGGGGCATTATCAATGGCTTTAGATCAGAATGCCTCTGGATGCAATTGGATAGACCTACAGCCAATCAGAGCAACGAAAGGTGACATAGCACTGAGCGATGCACAAATGTAAACAAGTGTTGTAGTGTCCCTGGGATGAGGGTGTGTGAGCCAAAAATGATGTTATCATGTCTTTTTTGTAAAGCCGGAAGGCTCTGCAAGTTGCCAGTCATCGTCTGAAACATTCCCCATATTTAATAATCAATTGTGATTAACCTGAGGCGGGCCAGGTTGACTGGAAATCTGTTTAAATGGGTAGGAGACCTATCTGCCAGAGAAAATAAAGCATGAACTTACAGATTTATCTGGTTCCCAGGCAAAATATTAATAACTATGTTAGAAAATGTCTGTTTGGTACAAGCCTGTGTACATAGGAATTTTAAGATAGAAGTTAACTATGATGGCAGCTAACTGTCAGCGAGACATTTCAGCAAGAAACATCCAATCACTGAGCTCACTGAGCTCAGCAACATGTACCGCTAAAGGTGAGAGAAAGCGAAATATAACACATAGCACACACAAGGAGCACCCTTCAAAAGCCCATATCTAACCTATTTTGTATATGTTAACAGAAGTTAGAGGTGTGATCTCTGGGCTGCATACCAGCCCAGAGATCACATACCATACTTAATTTCCATCAAGTGACAAATAGAAACATTATAATAACAAACAAAGACAGAATGGACTTACTGCAAAGAGTAGAAGACAGCAAATGCAGAGAGGACCACCATAGGCAGGAGGCAGTAGCCCAGGACACTGGCCACACAGCCATAAGACACTGCCACAGAACTCATCAGACTCAGCAGAATGTACATCCCAATACAGGCTGTAGCACTGATCCCATACACATAACCAAAGTGGGCTTTACCTGCCTGAATATATGGGGGTAAAGAAGCAGACAGGAATTGGTTATGTCTTACAACTGTACGTGACATACAGCAGTGAATGCCGAACAGGGTTCCTAGTAATGGTCACATATTTGGTTGAAACAGGCAGTAGCAGTAGCTCACCATCATTAAAGTGATGCCCAGTGCAATGCAGAAGAGGATAGGACCTGTTAGATCAGTCTCGTTCATAATGCTGCCATCTGCAGGCTTCAAAGGGTTCAGCACCGTCAGTGTCTTCTGCCAGATGTGATCAAAATTGATGCCAAGTTCTAGACAATAAACAAAAAGGAGGTAACTCTAAAGGACTGTTAGTATGGAGTGCCAAGTGGCTTTTATTTGGAGTTTGAATACAGGGTTGTTGCTCAGTGATGAGTTCCTCAGCTGTTTTCTTGAATCAACAACACAGCTAACGTCTATATGAATGGGCCATTGCTAGCTAGATTTCACCTAATACAACATGGATAGTTTTAATGACCCAAAGAAAAACATTTTGTGCAAATGCAGATTCTTTTTACCCTCAAGAAGGCTTGGTTCCTCTTCAAGAGAATCTGTTCCTGTGCTTCCCACAGGTTGGTAGAACTGTTCAGTGTACTGCTGCTCCATGGAAGGATCCAGAGCACCCGGCACAAAACCCTGTGTTCCACTGAAAACAACAGTTGCAAGAAAAGATGTTTAAACTCTCACAGAAAGCGTAATCAGTAATGTTATATTAGGATTTGTTTGGTGTAAAAAGTTGAGTATTTGGAGAACATGCTTTTACAAAACCTGCCACGCCATTTTTTAAAATTCCTCCATATCCCAGAATGTATGTTAGTAGCCCCAGTGAAAAGGCCTGAATGCCTGCTGCTCTCAAAAAGAGTCAATCTATGATCTACAGAAAATCTTCACCATGAAGTCAAAGTGAAAAGAGACTCAATACTTTAAAATTAATAAAATGTGTAAGGCTATGGTAAGACCAAATGCAACTGAATTAACTGATATGTCATTCACCATTACAATGGAGGATTCACAACAGTCAGATTCTAAAGAATGTACAGAATCTGTCCAGCAACATTCAAGATGTCCTCAATGGATTAAAAGTAACAGTCGTAAATTATATTTAATTTGATTTTTAAAAAGAAAGGAGATCTGTCATTTCAAGCTACCTTCTTTGTATAAATTAGGAAACAGTTGCAAAAACTGCAGAAAGAATATTTTTTCATCCAGATGGTGAGAAAAGTCCCCCCCACCTTCAGAACAACAACTAGCAACCCTATGACCTGAGGCATTATGTTTACAGGTTGTCCATCTGTTCATCCATCAGTCATTCTTATGAACATGATATCTCAGAAACGCCTTGAGGGAATGTCTTCAAATTTGGCACAAATGTCCACTTGGATTCAAAAATAAACTCATTAGATTTTGGCGGAAAAAGGTCAATGTTACTGTGATCTCACATTCTTCCCATTTTTGTGACTGCTATATCTCAGAAATATCTGAGGGGAATTTCTTCAAATTTGGCACCAACATCCACTTAGATTCAAAAATAAACTGATTAGACTTTGGTGGTCGAAGGTCAATATTACTGTGACCTCATTTCCCTCCCATTCTCTTGAATGCGGTATCTCTGGAATGCCTGGAGGGAATTTCTTCAAATATGGCACAAAAATCCGCTTGGACTCAGAGATTAATTGATTAAAATTTGGTGGTCCTCGCAAACACCTTTTTGGCCATAACTCAAGAATTCATATGTTAATTAATGACAACATTGACCACAAATGTCTAATAGGATAAAATGATAAATTTGTGACATTTTCTGTTTAAAAGGTCAAAGGTCAGCCTCACTGTGACATCATAATGTTCTGCAAAAGTACTCTTCTGTCCATTATTCAACATCATATCTCAGGAACAGGAGGGGAGACATTTGGTCAGATGCTGAATTAGTGACACTAATCTTGGGTGTGCAACTTGAAACTGTAATAATTATATAGATCTTCTGTGCTGCTGGGTTGAAAATGTGTGTGAAGCATCTATGTTTTGCCCAAAAATACACTTTATGCCTTAAATTTCTCTTCATTTCCTATGTCAGTCTAAACAGACATGGATGTCAACTGCAACTAGACTGGCTGGCGGAGGCGTAAAGCCATGGGGCAGTAATTCTAGTTTTAAAGGTGCCCTTTTGCATTTCTGTTTACATTCAGTGTTTGTCACAAAACACATTGTGCAAATCTTTGAGTTCTACAAACATGTTGGATCTTGCAGTCTTCTTTGTTGACATATAAAGTGTGTTCCTAAATGTGTTACAGCCATCTGTTGAGCAATAGAAAAGTATGAAACCTTTGGCTGCAATGTGTATTGCACCACCCACATGCACACATGTGTGCACCTTTACCTTTAGCTTTAAAACACATTCTGGGTTCTAGTGATATTGTTTTCCAGATAATCAGATGCTTATCTTGATTTGAAGGAGATGGTGAGGGGCAAATATAAGGATATCCTCAAAAGTCTGAATACTTACGTGTCATAATAAGCAGGGTTTGAGGAATTGTAGGTATCATAGTAGGACACAGTGTTACCCTGGTCATCTATGTAATATCCTGTCTGGTAGAAGTCCTGCTCAAGGTTCTGAAAGTCCCCCATGCTAATCAGAAGAACAAAGTCAGGACACGTTAAAACACAATATGGCTGTTCACAAGCAACAGAACAGAAATAAAGTACCACTCCATTAAGTGTAGAGAGAAGGACAGCGACGCTTCAGTGAATCAGCTCACTGACTCAGCCACTGAATGTCAAATATCTGAGCTAGTGTTAGGTCTTGTGCCCCCCTTTAAAAATATTACCTCCACACTCAAAGTGCTTGCATTTTACATTTATATCTATTAGTGCCATAGAAGGAAACTAGTCAAAGCAGCCAAGTTAAATTTGATTAAAATCATATTATCAAGAACACAAGCTGCATGCTTCTTTTACTATACAATAGGGAAAATACCCATCAAGCTGTATATTGTTTCCACTGGGCTCACATTCACTGGGTTCAAATGTCCCTCTGGACTGAAAACCCATCTCTTTGACAGCCTGTTATCTCAAAAACAAACGATCATTGCTCTGAAGTCCCATGTCTCCAGCAATACACACTACCTGCAGGTAGACAACCCAATGCCAGAATCTTTTTTGCATATTTGTCAACAACACTTTGATGCATGTGTGGTTAGATTTAGGCACAAAACTGCTTAGTTACCATTCAAAAAAGATAATGTTTTAGCTTAAAACACCAACATTTGGTGACACAAAAGTCACTGGAAAAGCAGGGGTGGGTTGGTGAAAACACCAGGGTCCGCAGGCTCCAACACAGCTTGGAAACACCGCCAAGAGACACTGTGAAGGGTCAGTAAAAAACCCAAGGATTGGTGGCTGAAACACAGCAGGAATATCAAACTTAACTGTACATAGTATGTATTTTCAGAAAAAAGGGTCTTCGGAGTCTTTGTGTTTTTTTGGGTAATGAAGTGTTTGAGAAATGGGCTTTTGGTCCAATAGGACATTTTTCAGACTAATGTGGTTTCAGAATTTTGGGCCATTGGAACAATGGTGTGGCACCAAGTGTATGGCCATCCCGATTTTTTGTAGACTTGCAAATTCTTTTTTTTTTTGTCTGTTTTAATTGTGTGTTTGTGTCTGAATAATTCTGAATCTTTTTAGTTTTGAAATGTATGTATACATCAGATTCTTGGACCATTTTTACAGCAGACATTCTGTCTTGTCATAGTAGGACAAGCACAGGTGGAGCTAATAATAATAATAACTAATACATTAATAATGGCTCTATCCCAGACATTATACAGTGTAATTCAGCATGCAGCATGCTATCTGTGATACCTATGATTCAAATGTCAAACACATGTGCTGTGAAAAAGGTCTATTCAACTTAAAGGGGCTTTATGGGAAATTCATAGTGTTTGAGTTGTCTTGACATGGTTCTCAACATGGACAGCTATCAGCTGACAGTGCTAACTCCATAAACAGCGCTAAACAACGGCAACAGTATTGACAAAGCTAACAGTGTTAACCATGGAACCTGAGGGAAGGCGCTACACTACGCATGCACTAACATGCACACATGGCTGAACCAGCTTACCACAACAAACCACAGAGAAGTTCTGACTCATGGAAAACTCTAAATGTATTTGAGTGTTCATAAGAGCATACAGACCTACAGACCACACAACAGCCTCTTCTTTTGCCAGTTCTTTTTCTCAGTAAACTCACCTGTTTGCTTCTACAGTACAATCAAACAGTGTAGAAGGCTTCTTCAACGCCACTTCACAGAGGAGTGTGCTGTTGTCAGAGCAGACATGTGAAGGCCAGTCTGGATATTCTATTAATAGTTGGCTATATTTGGATTTGGTCTCAGGGATATGACACGTGCTTAGCACCTCTTTATTCTGTGTCTACAGACTAAAACTGAAAGGCTGCTGTATATGCTTCTTGTTTTATTATTTACTTAAAATGCAAGCACTGTCAAAGTAATGTACAAATATGATGTATACAGTGTATAAATAGCCCTTATTTGCATTTTTTAGTGGCATGAATATCTGAACAGATTCAACAATAACTTTCTGATTGAAGTAGGATTCGTGGCATTGGAATTCCTTTAAGCAGTCGGCATGAAAGTTTTTGTGATCTTTTTTTTGTAGAATAATACTCTAATTGACACATTAGAGTAGCTTTGCTTTGGATCAAATGACTGAATCCATGAAACAGGTTATACTAATATTATGCAGCTATTACCAATATTTTAAGGAATCAAACAGGGGATATATATATCATAATGTGAAGTCAAATTATCTGTCAGACTGTCAGAAATGTTATTGTTCTCTCTGATGCAATTTGGTAAATGCCTCGGCCACTAAACTGATGTTTTTTCCCCCTAATACCTTCATGCTGACTTTACATTATTAGTCGAAACTTATGATTAAAAAAAATACACTGAATGGATCTCTTGCAACACACTTATTTTTTCATCAGGTTACTAATGTGTAAGTCATACTATACATGAATAGCCTATTTTAGTGGAAAATAATGGCAGTAATAGAAGGCGGTGCAGTGACTCAAATTGAATACCAAAATGTATCAATACACCACACACACCTTTTAGAAGAATAGAAGAAGCACTAAAATCCCATATGAAGAGATGTGTCCAGTGAAGTGATATATTTTTGTACTAAATTTGAGACACTGGGACACATTACATGGAAGCTGTTAAAAAAGCTGCCATTATTTTCTATTAAATTATCTATGTAAAATAAATAGACTACACAACAGTGAGAAAAATAATGTGTGATGCACAAGACCAATTTAGTTATTTTTTTAAATAGGCTGATAATTTCTACCAAAATTGGTGAGTCAGCATAGAGGTATTGAAAAAAAAAACAAAAAAACAACATCAGATTGGAAAACTGACTAAGAAGAAGACAAATACTGGGGATGGAAAATTACTAAGTATCAATAAATAAATAGGAATAATACATAACAATAAGATAAATAAATAAATAAATACATGATGAAGAATCAGTGATAAATAAATGTTAGAAGAAATAAATCAATAAGTAGGAATTAATACAGACATAAATAAATAAATACAGAAAGATATACGATATAATATACAAATACTACAAAATAGATAAATGAATGAATCAGTTATAAATAGACAAAGGCATAAATAAATGCATAAAAAATAAATACATTTTGAAAATTAAACAGGCTGTATATGGTAAACATTCTACATTTCTACACTTTTGTGTAACACACACACTATGTATATATACATAGTAATGGAGTATTTATAAACTGTTAATATCCCTGTTTAATGTTAAATTCATTTAAGCATTTGTTTATGTTTTTTTTTATTATTCATTTATTTCCGTGTTTTTCCTGTTTGTTTGTTTTTTTTCTTCTTTTAATAGAATAAAATGTATTAGTTGATTTAAGTCATTTGTCGATTTGTTGTCCTTCACAGTTCGTTGGGGTAGATTTCAGTACTGCATTTAGAGGTTCCACCTAACAGCTGAGGCTGGGGCAGCTTAACATTCACCGTGTGTCAGCTGAAGGAAACATTAATATTTCCTGGTCGCAGCTGTTGAATCCTGCGGCAGTGTGCAGTGTTTCATCTCACGCGCTGCAGCAGTGCTGCGCAGGACTGACTCTCCTCAACTCTCCCAGAGCCGGAAACAAAACAAGTGTGTCATGTGATTTCTGCTTGTACCTCTAGTCAAGTGGGAAGCTGCTCGATGTAAACTCAATTAAAAAGGATTAAAAGAAGGTATGTCAACCCATTTACTGTTGTAATATGTATTCTGGTTTTATCTGTACAAATTAATGTAGCATGCAGAGGTTAACTTAACGTCAAACACTTGGTAGTTTAACGTTATTTAGTAAAGGAAGTAACTTCACGGTTAGCTAACGTTGGATATCGCTAGTTATCTCGCTAATTAGCTAACATGTTAGCATGCTTTAGTCCACTTTAATTGAGCCTCAGTTTTATTAATAGACAGTGTCAGCTACTTGTCATCGCTGAGGACGTTTAACAGAGCCTGTTTTCTCCCACAGCTGCTGAGCGCTCTGGATAACATCATAAAACATTGGCCGCCATGGCTGATGTGAGTATTGTCTGTCACTCCTCTTCCACTTAGCTCGGTCAAGAGCCCCTGGCTTTAGCACTGAGGAAAAAATCTCATATATTTTGTGATAGCTTTATTTCATCTTTTTTAACCTTAAGTTTGCTCCACACCAGAGAACACTTTGTAGCTTGACAAGCCACCAGCTGTAACAGTGACGTACTGAAGATGGTCGCCTGTGTCTCTGTCAGTAAGGTGGTCAGTGACAGTCATGAGGAACCTTGTCTAACTCATCTAACATTTGTCTTCACAGGATCTGAAGAGATACCTCTACAAACAGATGCAGAGGTGTGTATGATGAATGTTACAACACAATGCTAAAGCTACGTTTGTGTCACAGCTGACGGTGAAACAGTCTGAATGTATATGTGTTAAGTCATTTGTTAAAAACTACCATCTGTTCTCTCACAGTGTTGAAGGTCTTCATGCTATTGTAGTGACAGACAGGGATGGTGTCCCAGTGATCAAAGGTAAGAAAAGAAAAAATACTCTATTTCTCTTATTATGCATTTCCACTACACCCCCAGTTTGTGTTGCAACTTATTTTACCCCTAAGCCCTTAATAGGCATGCTGTCTGCAGTATTGCTGGTTTCATCTGTCTGTTGAAGTGATGGCTTTTTGTCATTCATACATACAGTGGGTCTTTGTTAAGTAAATGTTATTGGTTGGCCGTCTCTGACCTTTCATAGGCTCAGTCGCTGGTATTTTTTAATTTATAAGGATGCACCATATTGGATTTTTTGCCGTTATCCATCATGCTGATATATAACAACTTATTTGGCTGATAACCATTACGGATATCGACATTCTTTTTCCCTACCAAATTTTGGTGATCATCAAGCCTCTGTAGTGGAATTAACATCATATTATACATGCATACTCTTATTGTGATGGCACAGCAGCAGATGGAGACATGAAATAGAATGCTTTTCAATGTATGCAATATTCATTCATTGTGCAAAATAAAAAAAAAGCATGTTGGCCAATGCTCATAGTTAATTTTAAAGCCAATATCGGCTGATACCATACCATACTGGGTAAACTCCTCTTGTACATTTGTACTCTGATTGAACAGAGATCTGACTGTAGCTATAGTCTGAGATCTCAAGAGTACATTTTTTAATGTGTTGATATTTGGCTGTAACTTTTTTTGTATGCTGCTGTCTTACCTGGACTTACCTGGTTAAAAATGGGTTAAATTAAATTAAATAAAAAATGAAGACTCTCTTATAACATAACAGGACCAGATAGAGATGTAACGTGTGTGATATTTGGCACCAGGTTTCCCTGTATATTCCTTACTATATATTGTCATCAGTATCATTTTTTGATAGAAATAATACAATTTTGGTTTTCAGTTTTCTGGCCCTCAATCATAGTCAAAAATGACAGGATGGCAGGGAGAGATTCATTTAATTTTTATCCACTCACATGCTGCATGTAAAGCATAACATTTATACTGTTAGCAGTTGCTATAAATAAAAGTTAAATGAAGGTAGACAGATGATGGTCAGATGATTATTTTGGTTTTAAGAGGGTATTTCCTTTTGCCTCATATCATGAGGGCATGTTGTGATTGGAAACACATTTTCACGGACTGATGTGACATGAGAAGAATGTCATATAACAAAGTCATGTTATTACAGAGCTCTTAGAAGGCAGCATGCAACATGCATTTAGTCTCTGCCTGTGTGTTTAACCGTGTGCTGCTGTAGCCTCTACAGTCACATTCAGTGCAGACATGAATCATGTTGGAAGCATCACAGGAATGGAACATTCAATCTCATCAGATAGCTGTCACATCTTGGAAAGATGAGTAAGGGGCTTGTCCAGACACAAGACTGTCGTGAAAGAGTGCCATAACATCTGCATAATCAAATGCATGTATGAAAGTGGCTCTATGTTCCTACTCAGACTAACTGACAGCAACCTCTTTCTGTCCCAGTCCTCCTTGCTTTGCCCTGCTCTCAGATGGCAGTGTGATTATTCGCTAACTGCCTGTTGGCTCTAAAAGTAGATTCACTGTAGAATGTTTCAGCTCTTTTTTCTTGTAACAGAGAAGAAACAGCAACAATAAGCGGTTAAGCAGGTTCAAATGACATGAAGTTATACAGTAAAAGTTATGAGAAATCTTAAACCTGCAGCATATCATTAAGGATCAGTCTCACTGATCTCACTCCTGTCATATGAAAAAACTATGGTGTGAACATAAAGGAGAAAGAGCAGCCATTCACTGTCCACAGAGTTTATTGTTAACACTGCCTCTGTGTTTCTGCAGTTGCCAATGACAACGCCCCAGTCCACGCCCTCAGACCTGGCTTCCTGTCCACTTTTGCTCTGGCCACAGATCAGGGCAGCAAGCTGGGCCTCTCCAAGAACAAGAGCATCATCTGCTACTACAACACCTACCAGGTAATATCTCATCATCATCACCATTGTTACATGTCGTAGAGATGACCAATTAGGCAATATCACACGAGAGGGAGTGATTTAGTACTGTGTATCAGCATCGGCTGTTTCATATACATCCCTGCATATGACACACAAGAGCTGTTAACAGTCAGACTTCAAATATCTGTTCTAAGGGTGCTGTCAGACACACTGAGCCATCAGTTAGCTGACCTTTGCCTATAATGTTTTAGTTTTCAGATAAATTTATGTTGATCCCCTTTTCCTTAAGTCTCCCCAATTTTGGTCTAACATGTCTTTTGTGTCTCTGTTTTAAACAGATTGTGCAGTTCAATCGGTTACCACTGGTCATCAGTTTCATTGCCAGCAGCAATGCCAACACAGGTAAATTCACTGTACAAGCCTTGATAAAATGTAAATGGGTAAGTTGTGTAAAAATTCACCCTGTACAGTTGCGGTGAATGTTGAAATTAGCTATAGAGACCTAAAATGTTCTTTGTACCAGGCTGTAAACATGTTTATTTTTGCTAAAGTTGGATGTTTTAACATGGGGGTCAATGGGGATTGACTGGCTTCTGTAGCCAGCCTCAAGTGGCCATTAGAAGAACTACAGTATGTGGCACTACCGCATTGTCTTCAGTTGTCAGCCCCATAAGTTGTCACATATTCTTAACAAAACTGACTGATTGAACATGGTGGAATACCTTAATTTAAACGTTCCTTAGTGAAGATACACTTCACCAAAGTTAACCAAACACTTGTCAAACAGTATATGTGCAAGGGTTCTTTCTCACTGCTGTTGTTACACAGTATTCTGTGATCTGTCAGATTTTGTGTCCTGTGGCAGTGCAACAACCATTTCACCTAAAGGCAACATTAAGTGCATTTGTCTTTCATAGTAGATTCTCTGTGGTTTCACTTATACAAAAGAACCTTACTCTTCAACAAAAAAAGTCTATCCCTGTAGTGATTTTTGCCATAATGTTGTCAGACACTTAGAAGCCTGTCAGTGGCAAAAATCCGCACTTTTAGTGGACGTAAATTGAAGGTGCACAAATGCCCAGAGTGATTACATTGCAGCCTGTTTTGCTGCTGCTGTCTGAGGTGGTTTCTCTAAATACTGCACGTGTTTTTAATTGATCTTTAGTCACTTAGACACAAACACATGGGAAAATGGGCTCCAGGTTGAAAATACCAAAGTTATTTTTAAGTGTACATCAGAAAAACACAACAATGATGATTTGGCTGCCCTTTTAGCCTTACCTTTACGACTGAATACTGTGTGTAAAGTTAGTCCTCAGGGTGGCGCTAGAGGAAAGTTCATGAATTTGTTGAACATTCTCCACATGTGCCTCTCTCGTTTGCATGGTGAAGTAACAGCAGTACACTCTGTGTGTCCTCAGGTCTCATCATGAGTCTGGAGAAGGAGTTGGCTCCACTAATAGAGGAACTGAGGCAGGTGGTGGAGGTGACATAAGCTCTGAGAGACAGGAAAACCCTGAGCAGGATCCACAGCAGAATCACCAGACCGGATCACATCCTGCTCTCTGAATCTCTCTCTGTCTCTAACGGTGCATTCAGGTGCTGTGATAACCTGTCTGGGGGTTTTTACAGTTCCACGTAATGTTAACGTCTTCATCTGTTTACATCATGATTGAAATTTTCTGTACACTTTTTGTCCTGTTGACTTTGCTTTCTGCCATTTTCTGTAGAATGTGGGTGCTTCCCATCAGCATTTTCACAGCTAAGACAGTTTATGTCAAATCAATTGTCTGAATAAATGTTTCATTTTAAGCACCCAAAGTGGTTTCCCTGCCTTTTTCATTGTTAAGGTTTTAATGTAAATACATAGAGTTCACAGCATAGTCTTATTTAAAGCTCAATTTCTCCATACACTGTCATTTCTCAATAACAACAATCCATCCTTTGTTGGAGGGTTCGCCTGAAATTTTTTTCCATTTGATGACCTTTTGAATATAAAATGTCATTACTTCATCATTGTATCCTATTAGACATTTGTGTGAAATTTTGTCAGAATTTGTGTAAATTCTTGACATTTGGCCAAAAACATGTTTAGTGGGGTCACAGTGACCTTTGACTACCAAATTCTAGTCAGTTCAGACATTTGAGGCAAATTTGAATAAATTCCCTCAATACTTTCTTGAGGTATCACATCCATGAGAATGAGACAGATGCAAGATCACAGTGACCTTTGACCAACAACACCTAAATCAGTTCATCGTTGAGTCCAAGTAAACGTTTGCGCCAAATTTGAAGAAATTCCCTCGAGGTGTTCTTGGGCTATTGCATTCATGAGAATAGGACAAACGCAAGGTCACAGTGACCTTGACCTCTGATCACAACATCTAATCAGTTCATCCTTTAGTCTACCTGGTTGTTTGTGCCAAATTTAAAGAATTTCCCTTAACGTGCTCGTGATATTGTGGTTTTCACAAGAATTGGACAGACAGACGTCGTCGACCCGAAAACAAAATGCCAAAATTCGTCAGGATTTTGTTGTTGTTGTTTTTTTGGGTTTTTTTGGCATTTATTTGTAAGCAGGGTTATAAAGATAGGTCCCTTGTATAAAAAACTGACGGAGGTACAGAAGATCATGTGTACCGTAGTGAGATGACGTCAAAGGTGACAAATTCAGTTAGCCCCTGCTGCCACTAGGAGCTGTTAAAGACCTCCCTACACTAGTTTTTAATTGAATTTTTACAGTGAAATGTCATAGTAGCAATATAGTTGCATGTTGACTTTGTTGCTGCCCCATTAACATTAATTTATTATTGTTTAAGAGGAGTCACTGCAAAATGAACCATTTGATTAGAATGTTTCAGTTGGTAGGTTTGTATTTAAAGTCATTTTCTACACTTGGTTACATTCATCAATCTTCAGTAAGTTCTCATGCAGTACTCACCACCCAGAGCAGAGGTGACTGGTTCTGTTTCTTGTTAACAGCTCTTATGTGCAGACCAAAATCTACAGTGAACACATCCTTACACACATCATGAAGTCACACTGCTGCACTGGGTGCAATCTTCCATTAACACATACTGTACAATAGTTTATTTTGACTCCAGACCTTTTTCACAGTAGTAATTTTGCCATGTCATGGTAGGAAAAATTACAGGTGTATATAATAACATTAACAATAGCTGCATTCAGTTTAGTCGAGGCCCTGGTATTGTGCTTGCTGGCTCACTGAATAGCTTACTAGGACACTTATTGGAACTAAACCATTGTTAATTTTATCAGTTCCATCCCTGCTTTCCCTAATATGACACGTCAAAATGTCTGCTGTGTAAAAGGTCCATCCTACATACACTGTCCTGCTGTCCTTAATATATACTGAACAAAAATTAAAAACAAGACTTTTGTTTTTGCTCTCATTTTGTACAGGTTTAAATTTTAGGTGTAAGATTTTATGCACTCAACAGATACATTCCTCTCAAATTTTGGTAACACATTTGTTTAAATCCATGTTAGTGAGCACTTGTCTTTCTCCAAGATAATCCATCACTTCACAGGTGTGGCATATCAAGATGCTGATTAAACAGCATCATTACTACACAGGTGTGCCTTGGGATGGTCACAGTAAAAGGTCACTGTATAATGTGCAGTGTGATCACGCAACACAATGACACAGATGTCACAAGTTTGAAGGGAGTGTACAATTGGCATGCTGACTGCAGGAGTGTCAACCAGAGATGCTGCCCATGAATTCAATGTTCTTTCCTCTCCCATAAGTTGTCTCCAATGAGGTTTCCTTGAATTTGGCAGTACATCCAATCATCCTCACAACCACAGACCACACCAGCTCAGGATCTCCATATCCTGTATCCTCACTTGTAAAATGGTCTGGGAGCAGCCATCCAAACAGCTGATGCACAATTGGTTTGTATCAAAGAATTTGCACTCAAACTGTCTCAGGGAAACTCATACGTCCTCCTCATCCTCTGCAGGGTCTTGACCTGTCAGCAGTTTGTCGTCATGATCGACTTGAGTGAGCAACTGTTCACCTTCCATGGTGTCTGGCAGTTTGCAGAAATGTTCTTTGCTCAGAAGTGTCCCGCTGGACCAAAAAGTGCATATCTGTAGCCCTAGTCATGTGAAAGCCTTGTTCAGAGTGCCTAATTAATGTCTTTAGTCGAGACTGGCCTTTTATTGTGACCATCCCAAGGCACGCCTGTGTAGTAATTGATGCATCTTGAAGGGACTATCTTGGGAAAGGAGAAGTGCTCACTAACATGGATTTTAACCCTGTAAGACCCAGATATAGAAAAAAATGAGCAATTTTTTTTGACCTCTCAGATATTGTTTTAGGAGGCCTCTGATGTAGAAATCAAAGAGTTTTCAAATTTTTTACATTTTAGTAAGTTTTTAGGGAAATGTTGTAAATTTGCAACGTTGGGCATAGTTGGGAGCAGAACTTCTGTGTTTGTACTCACTTTGTCTGAACAGATATACAGAACATTTAAGTATTCATTTGCAGGGTTGATTGCTTACTTAGCCCCATAACAGTAAATATCATGAGTAATAATCACACAACAATCAGAGTTTTATGAATAAGCATTTATAAATAAAAATATTGGAAAAAAATATATTTACAAAACTTTTTCCTCCGTCACTTTCAATGTGGTTTACTACATTCAAACAATACTGTCTGGCTGGCCTATTATGCTCTCTACTTATCATACTAAAAGGAACACATGCATCCCCCCAGAGCACTTACAGGTTCACATTCAAGACCATTCGCACCTGTCCCTGAACAATGCAACAGGCATCCCCCCAACAAATCCAGAACATTCAGAACCCGTTTTTCTATCTCCTAATGCTACAAACTGCTGCTTGGGTAACACTGAGAAAAATAGCTCAGGATCATTTTGAAGTTAAAAAACAAACAAAAAACTACAAAGATACAGGGAGTTTCAAATACCCCATACAATTTATTCATGTGTTTAATTATGGTCTAAGCTAAACTAAGTAAAAATTTAACAGAAAAGCACATTTAGAGCTTCATTACAATGAATCATCTAATACTTTAAATTTCTACTACATTTTTTTTCAATTTGTGACCATGTGAGAAGTGCAGTGACCTTATGTAATGTGTAAGGAAGCACAGGCTATTTTGAGTACCACACTGACCCAACGTTGTAGAATTACAACATAGACATAACAAGCTATAAATCAAATTTGATGACTGTTTTCCAAAATAACTAAATATGTACATGTTCTAGACATTGTAATAAACACAAAAAAAAAAATATTTAAGGAATTTTACTTACTTTAATCCTGACAAATCCAGTCATGCAAAAAAAGGAGATGAGCTCAACGGGAAGTTTGCAGGTAGAGTGAGTTCATGGCCAGATGACCAGACCTATAAACACTTCTTCTATCCAATAGCATTGTGAGGACAAACAATAGGACCCATTAACTATGTAAATGTGGTCTTGAGAAAAAAAAACATTTGCAGGCCTTTTTTTAGAATGTGATGTTGTAAATTTGCAACAGTGGGTTTTACAGGGTTAACGCATTTGTGCACAAAATGTGAGAAATCAGTCTTTTGTGTGCATGGAAAAAGTCTTAGATCTTTTTATTTCAACTCGAAAATGAGAGTGAAAACGAAACTGTATATATTTTTGTTCAGTGTAAATAAAGAACAGTGTGTAAAGACAGTCCCCAAACAATGCATTATTTCCTCCTGTTTGAGTAACGCTCTCTAAACAATAAAAGTGGTTAACTGTTGCTGTGAACTATAAATCAGTGAGCTGTGCTTGGAGCTGAGAGCCACAGACAGAGTGGGAAGTCACAAAGGACTGAGAGACGGACTAACATATTCTGTGTGTCTCAAATAGCATACTTCTGTACTAAACACTTAATAATTTGAGTGCACAAGTGTGCTAGGTGTGTTCATGCTGCATAGTGTGGGAAAATGCAGTATACTACTGGTGCATTCACAACATTCCAAAAGCTGAGTATGGAATGATGGAAACTTCTCATCCTCAACACTCGCCATCTTTGTGACATAGCAGAACTTCTCAACTTTTGACATGGTGTCTTGGAAAAACAAGTAGCCTAAGCTGGCTACAGTGAACATCGCTGCGTTATACAGATGTAAGCTATACATGTTTTTTACACTAAGTGCAATACTGTTGTCAAACAGAGGCGGTCAGTAACGTTTGTTGGGTTTGTAATGATTTGCGAACAAAAATTCGAGTATTAACATTAGTCTGCTAGATAATGTTGGCATTCACTAGCTAGCTAGCTAACATACTCCTAACTACAGCGGCACATTTTAATTAGCACTGATGTTGTGGCATAAGTTTGGTAATAAGTGGGCAGAGATAGCTCCCATATGTTGGTGATAATACTCCACCATCTGTTTGCTACTCGCCCTTTAAAAAGAAGATGAAGAAGAAGAGGAAGGAGAAGGAGAGGCGGTAAAAAAGAAAAAAAAATCTGTTGTCACTTTTGGTCACTGCAAAACGGCAGTGTGCAATGTTGAAATTAGGGCACCGCGCAAGAGGTTCCTCGTGTACATAGTGTACTACACTGAAGTGTACTAATAGAGGTATGCGTTTTGAGACACACTCATTGTTGGTTTTAGACTTACAGAATAATGCCGGCAATATCCTAAGTTGATGTTAGTAGTAACAAACATCGTCTGGGAAAAGCAGCGACTATTAACAGGAAACTTATGAGAAACAAAGCATCTTTGGACGATTAAAAAGCAAAGTGGTGTCACTTCCATGTTGTTAGTCTTCAGTCAGTGCACTGAGGGAAATGTGTCCCAGTCTTAGTCATGCTCGAGTTTATTCTTCACTTTTAAATCGTGCTGTTCATCATTGTTCATCCAGCTGCGATGACGTCTTCCATGTACGTGGGACTTCTTTCCATCTCTGGAGTCTCCATCGGCAGCAGTCATCGACCTTTGCTGATCTGTGACTGAAAACAGAGAGAGAGTCACTGCTGGCAGAAAAATGCACAATGCAACTGAATAAAATCAACTGAACCTTTAAATACTGTCAGGTTGCTAGTTTTAAGTAAAGTCAACATAAAATTGCTGCTGCCACTTTCAGAACATTTGAGTTACTTAAAACCAAGTTTTGGTGTACATTTTGACTTCTGGGGTTAACTTTCTTCCAGACTAGGTTGAGTATATAGGCATTTCTCTACTTGATAGTTGAATCTCCTGCTCCAGCTTTCTGTTTCATTGTATTTTAACTTTTGATATTAGTAGATTATTCTGTTTTTGGTCTGGGGTTTGTACAGGCCAGTTTTATTTACACTTAGGTTTATTGTGAACTAATTCAGAAACCATTGTAGGGTTTAAAAAAAAAAAAAAAAAAAGACGATGGAAAAAACTGGAGTTAACACCCGCAGTTGTATGCCTCCGCACATCAGTTAAGTTTCTCTTACAGTTTATATTCTTGTCTGTGAAAACGTGGATGCTTCACACCCATTGTTCCCCTGACAGCACAGAAGCTCTATACAATCAGCACAGTTTCAAGGTGACACCTAAGATTAGTGTCACCAATTCAGTATCTGACCAAAATTTCCTCTTCTGTTCCTGAGATATGACACTGAACAATGGACAGAAAAGTGTTATATGCAGAACACTACGATGTCACAGTGAAGTTGACCTTCAACTTTTTGGATATAAAATGTCATCACTTCATTATTTTAACCTATTAAACATGTGGGTGAAGTTTAGTCATAACTGGCTTATGAATTTTTGAGTTATGGCCGAAAACATTTTGTGAGGTCACAGTGACCTTGACCTTTGACCTTCAACCACAAAATTCTAATCCATTTCTTCTTCAGCCTAAGTGTATGTTTGTGTCAAATTTAAAGAATTTCACTTAAGGAGATAACATGTTCACAAGAATGAGACAGATACAAGGTCACCGTGACCTTGACCTTTGACCACTGAAATCCAATCAGTTCATTGTCGAGTCCAAGTGAATGTTTGTGCCAAATCTGAAGAAATTCCCTTGAGGCATTCTTCTAATATTGTGTTCACAAGGATGGGACAGTTAGACGGACAGTGCGAAAACATAATGCCTCTGTCCATGGCTATCGCTGGCGCAGAGGCATAAAAAACTTTCCCTTATTCTTTCTAAATGTGGCACTTGAAGTAGATCAGCACATTTGCTGAAGCTGATGTACTTGTAGGGTTCTTGCACCTTTTGGGGTTGTACCCACATGGTTGAATGTACTTATCGGGGCAGCTGTGGCTCAGAAGGAGAGCGGGTCGTCTACTATTGAGCGGTTTGATCTCCGGCTCTGTATCAAAGTATTCTTGGACAAAATATTTAACCCCATGGCTGGTCACTAGTGTGTGGTTGTGTATGAATGTTTATCTGAACAGCAGGTGGCACTTGTGTAAAGAGTGCTTTGAGTGGTCAGAAGACGAGGAGGGTACAGCACAAGGGGAAGTCCATTTACCATTTATTGTAAGTCGCTTTGGATAAAAGTGCCAGCTACATAAATGTAGTTCAAGATGTCAGGTTCTTCTTTGACTTTGAGGTGAAGAATTGTCCCACTGAGTTTTCCCTACACCCATCAAATTAGTTTGTTCGAAACATTTTTAATACAGTTCCCAGCCTGCATATTTGGCTAGCTCTTCAGAAACCCTTCTTCTTCTGGTCTCGTGTTACATGATGGATGGCTGTCCTTCAATGCATACTACAGTGCCCGCTCAAAAAGTGCCTGCTCAGAGTTGCTTCGCCTCCAGTATTGCAGTTTGCAGCTTTCTTGAGATCTGCTCATCCAAACAACTTTCACTCTCAATGCTACACTTCCTTGGGTCCTAAGCAATACACCTGCCATGACATAGTTGCGTCCCCTAGCAATGCCAGAGTTCACGCGTCATTTTGGTGCAAAAGCTCACACACATTTTATGGCCTCGGTACAGACCGTGTTGTAGGCTTCATCATGGCTGTTAATTTCAAGAGGGCCATTGCTTCCATATATTTCCACTTTTTTTTCATGCTGGCCGGCTGTCCACTTTTGCCCTGTCCCTCTCTCTTGTTACAGATGTATGTGTCCCGCAGGTTACGCAACATTTTCTTTCTTAGACTACCTCTTAGTCAAACAACCCTCTAAAGGCTTTTGATGCAAAAAACCCTCAAAAACAAAACAGATTTTTGTTTTAACCTGCAACAATTTTGGAAAGAAAATATGGACTTTGGAGGGCATACCATTTTTCCCAGCACTAGCTCTGACTACATTCTGTCTACATGACTGAGCACCTGTTGATTAAACTAAATGGACAAAGCTCACTGAAGTTAGTTTTCTCCCGATAGCTCAATGAGGTTCACAGCAACTTAAGTATAAGCAAATAGTTCAGCACAAGTTTAGATCAAGATGTGGCTTTCAGAAATTAAGTCTAACTGGCGCACAAACATTTACTATAATTTAACATCTTTACACAGATTCAACAGTACAGCAATGTGTCTTTTTAATCAGTGGTGGGTTAGTATTTGAAGAAACATGGCATTTATCAGAAATAAGGAAGTGACTAAATATGACACAAGCTGTATGACATATTACTGACTTTCTGTTAATTTGCAGTGATCACAGCAACTCCTCCCTGAGACACTGAGCAGTTACTGAGACATTAAGTGTTGTAACTATCAATTTTCCCTGAACCTGTCTTTTCTTTTTCTACTGAACCTCATTTGGGGAATTCCTTTGTTTCCCTGGATGCTTTTCAACGGTCCCTATCAAAGTCAGGACCTTGTTATATGTCTAAAAATGCACAGCACATGGTCAATACTTCTTTAAGTGTTTTTTCTCCTTAGCTACACTATGATATGGAGGGAAGAGTGGAGGCCCTCCAGCAGTTTGACTTACTGGTAAAATATCCCACTTCCTGCCGGCAGTGTGTAAAACATACAGTCTGATCAAACTCACCAGTTTCCACCTCAGAATCTTGATCCACTCATCTGCTTCCACACCCGTCTTTGCACACAGATAAAATGTCCTCTCAGGAAACACCAGACTGTGGACACATAGAGATAAAGAGAGCACTCAAGGAAAAGGAAGAGATAGTTGTATATTACAGTATATTATCTTGTTTTTTTTTTACATGTGAAAGTAGTGTCTGCAAACTAAAAGCAGACACAGGGCTTATTTCATCTCATCTCTTGGTGTCCTTAATCTGTCATTTCTCAGAAAACTTGGCAGAGTTTTGTTTCATAGTCAGGGTGTGGTTGTGGTTTAGCTAAGCTTTGTTTCTAAAATTAAATTGACAGGCTTACTATTTTTCAAGCCTGTCTTGCAACAATAGTCCATGCAGTACAACAGGTTTTGCATGCTGTAAGCATTCCTCTTATTCATCCTGGCCATTAAAGGAACACCTCTCCCCCCAAATGACCACTTCTGTATCAGTTTATCACCCAGTGTTATGTTGAATTTGGGAAGGCAATTTTGTTTTTCTTGTATGACTCCATGGTGAACAAAGAATCCAAAAACTGATTTAATTCTTGATCAGTTAAAGTAAATGTGGGCCACATTTATCAAAAGCAAAACTACATCAAAACTGTATGAAAACATCTGTTTACATCTCATTACTGGCCAGCATAACGTTTTAAGTTTGTTTATCTGGAAACTAAGTCTGTTAAAACAATGGGGAGGTGTGTGATTGTGTTCATGTGGCTTGACTCCTGGCTACATTAGCCGTTAGCTTGGAGGAAACAGTCCCTATGAAAGTGTATCGCTGAGAAGAAATTATTTGAATCACTCAGGGATCGGGGTTACATCATTCACCGAGTGATTCCTTCACTGAGTGATTTGTCACGCGGTAGGCAGCCCCCCCCTGCACCCTGGCTGCCTAGCGAGTGATTCATCGTTCGCACGGTCCGAATCGGCAGTTCCACTCCCAGCCTGCATGCTCGCTGCTGAGCTTAACTGAACTGAGAAATGAACGAATCAGTTCCGGAAGTGACTCAGTTCAGTACGTTCACTCAATAGATTCGTTCTTTTTAACGATTCATTCGCGAACGACACAACACTACTTACGAGTAATGCTCCTGTTTATGCATAAACGCATCTGCTTGGGAAGTACTGACCATACGACTGAATAGGTGAGACTTGGATTACAATGCATGAGTTGTGTGACAGTTGTAAACAGATTTTGGATTCCCGTTCACTGTGGAGACATGCAAGAGAACAAAGTTTTTATTACAAATTTAACAGGCTGAGTATTTGATATAAATAATCGTTTGAGGGAGTATTCCTTTAAGAGATCCTGTTCAGCTGTCCTCTGCAATTAATGACACTCCCCCAGTCCCAAATGGATCCCTTACAGACTCGTTGACTCAAGCCCTAAGCCCTTACAGACCTAGGACCAATTCCATTTCTTCCCCTTAGCCCTTGTCTTCCCCCCTTCCCATCCGTCAGGTTAGCTCTTAACCTGATGGAGAATTGGGACACCACTTCCCCTCACGTGAACACGCAAAACCAAGGGGAAGGGCCAAGACAAGGGCTAAGGGGAAGAAATGGAATTGTTCCTAGGTCTGTAAGGGCTTAGGCCTTGAGTCAATGAGTCTGTAAGGGATTCATTTGGGATTGGGGGAGTGTCTTCTGTGCTTAAATCACCTGCTGTGAAACAATATGACCCACATCCATTTATATTGCCTAATCATTCTTCTGAGGTCATTTTGGTTAAAGTAACACAAAGGCAGGGTAACAAGTAACTTATTAATCTACACAGAGAGTAATATTGAAAAGTAACATATTACTTTTAAATGAAGGTAACTGGCAATATGTACCATATTACATATTACATTAAGAGTAACTTGCCCAACACTGGTCGAAAACTACATTGTAACTGATGATACTGTATATTCTGTAGTGAGTTTAATAATGGGTAGATATTGGGTTTTTATAGTTTTTTACCTATTAAAATACAACTGAATATCTCCATAATGACAAAACAACTACAACAAACCATGCTTTCATTGTTTCCTTCTCTTCTTCAGTTGTATTTAAGGCATTAAATATTACCCATGAGCCTCAGCAGCCATTATATTGACAAAAAGTAAATCAGGGCCATAAAATCTGGGTTTCAGCAGAACATATTCAGAACACTTTGCTGCTGTGCTTATTAATGGATTCACAACACTTAATCCAGTCTCCACCCTTCATTCATCCACCTGACACTGACTACAAGAGGAATGAACAAAGCTCATACTCCACAAACCTGTTTACCAGCACTTCTTGTTTGGATTAATATCTAACTGCAGCATTGAGCATTGTGTAAAAGGTAAAGGCGGTCAGTGGTTGTAACCTCTGTAAAGCCACTGCCGCCTTTCAGTTCATGTGCACTTCTTCTTCCCTCCCCCTGTTTCCTTCTGTTATTGAACAGCTCAGACTTCCCCATTTTCAAACTAAACAAATGTCACATTTTGCTGCCATGGGGAAGTACAACTGGCTGCGGCCTCTGACTGCAGAGCTGTGACTTATCTGACATAGATGTGGTTTGCTTTTTCTTCATATGGTTGGTGTCAGATTTTGCACACATTTGTCTATTGATGTTGATCGATATTACATCTTTACACTCACCGACCACTTTATTAGGTACACCTGTTCATCTGCTTGTTAATGCAAATAGCTAATCAGCCAATCACCTGGCAGCCACTCAATGCATTTATGCACGTAGACATGGTCAAGACGACCTGCTGAAGTTCAAACTGAGCATAGGAATGGCAAAGAAAGGTGATTTGAGTGACTTTGAATGTGGCATGGTTGTTGGTGCCAGACGGGCTGGTCTGAGTATTTCAGAAACTGTTGATCTACTGGGATTTTCACGCATAACCATCTCTAGGGTTTACAGAGGATGGTCCAAACAAGAGCAAATATCCAGTGAGCAGTTTACTGGACAAAAATGCCATGTTGATGCCAGAGGTCAGAGGAGAATGGCCAGACTGGTTCAAGATGATAGAAAGGCAACACTATCTCAAATAACCACTCGTTACAACCAGGGTATGCTAAAGAACATCTCTGACTGAACAACACATCGAACCTTGAAGCAGATGGGCTTCAGCATCCCACAGCATCAGAAGACCACACTGGGTGCCACTCCTGTCAGCTAAGAACAGGAAACTGACATGGTCCAACATTGTCTGGTCTGATGAGTCTCAATTTCTGCTGTGAAATTGAGATGGTAGGGTCAGAATTGGCATTAACAACACGAAAGCATGGATCCATCCTGCCTTGTATAAATGTTTCAGGCTGGTGGTGGTGGTGTAATGGTGCAGGGGAATGTGGGCCCCTTAGTAGCAACTGAGCATTGTTTAAACACCACAGCCTACCTGAGTATTGTTGCTGACCATGTAAATCCCTTTACAACCACAGTGTGTCCATCTTCTGATGACTACTTCCAGCAGAATAACACTCCATGTCACAAAGCTCAAATCATTTCAAACTGATTTCTTGAACATGACAATGAGTTCACTGTACTCCAGTGGCCTCCACAGTCACCAAATCTCAGTTCGATAGAGCACCTTTGGGATGTGGTGGAACTGAAGATTCGCATCATGGATGTGCAGCCGACAAATCTGAAGCAACTGCATGATGCTACACGTATCATGTCAATATGGACCAAATTCTCTGAAGAATGACTCCAGCATCTTGTTGAATCTACGCCACAAAGAATAATGGCAGCTCTGAAGGCATAAGGGGGTACTAGCAAGGTGTACCTAATAAAGTGTCTGATGAGTGTATATTTCTTTCATTCATTTTGTGTGTGGTTCTTCATATTTATTTTTTTGTTCATAAAGATAAAGGGTTCCAGGTGACAATTATTTTCATAATTGATTAATCTTCTGATTATTTTAAGAATTGATCAGTTAATCAATTGCTCCAAAAGATGTCAGATGATTGTAGAAAATATACCCAACAGAAGTTCTTTAAGCCAAAGCCGACTCATTCAGATGTCTTGTTTTGTCCAAAACCAAAAACAGTTCAATTTACTATCGAAGAAACCTTCAGAAACAGCAGGTATTAACATCTGAGAAGCTGGAACTGACTTAAAGGATAAACTAATTATTCTAATTGTTGTAAATGATTTTTTTTAAAAGACATGCTCCCTAAATTGGTTCTGAAATCACAAAATTTGCTCTCAACACATCAATAATGTCACTTAGTGTAATATGTTTAGCATGGAATTTTAGTCCTGACAAAAGGGATCAGTTTGGATGGCAAGGAATTTTCACCTCAAGGTCCATTTAGAAGCTGTTTCATAGATTCTGAAGTCTTCATCAGCAGATAGAAATGGCTTCATTCTCATCATATGACCCAAGTGTGGAATGTAGGTCACATGATAACTTCTGACCCAGCCACAATGGCTGAATAAAGATCATGAGCTGTAACTGAAAGCTCAGAAAAAACTAGTGAAGCCTTTGAATTGAGATTATTTTGCCACACCAACGCTTTGTGTTTATTCGGGTTGAAGGTCCAAGACTAACCTCGCAAAGCAAGCACAGCATTCACTGTGTTTGAGTTGGTTGTTGTTGTTGCATGCCTTTGTTTGGGTATTTGCACAACCAGTCTCCTGAATTATTACATAATCTTGTGGCACTGTATAGCAGAGCCCTGTGTTAAAATCTGTTTCTTACACGGACAACCTCAATTCCAAAAAAGCTGGGACGCTGTGTAAAAACAGAAGGCAATGATTTCCAAATCCTTTTTTGACCGATATTCAATTGAATACAGTCCAAAAACAAGATTTTTAATGTTCAACCTGATACACTTTATTCTTGTTTTGGAAATATACACTTACTCTGAATTTGATACCTGCAATATGTTCCAAAAAAGGAACATGGACAGGGGCATGCTTACCACTGTGTTACACCACCTTTTCAGTTAACGGCACTCAGTAAGTGTTTGGGAGGACACTCACTGCAATTTTGAAAGTGAAATTCTTTCCCATTCTTGCTTGATACATGACTTAAGTTGCTCAACAGTCCAGGGTCTCTGTTGTCGTAAGTTGCACTTCAGAATGCACCACACATTTTTAATAGGAGTCAGTTCTGGACTGCAGGCAGGTCAGTCTAGTACCTGCACTGTTTTACTACAAAGCCACGCTGTTGTAACACATGCAGGATGTGTTTCATTGCCTTGCTGGAATAAACAGGGACGTCTCTGAAAAAGACGCCATCTGGATGGCAGCATATGTTGCTACAAAACCTGTATGTACCTTTCAGCATTCATGGTGCCTTCTCAGATGGGCAAGTTACCCATGATGCCATGGGCACTAACACATCCCCATACCACATAGTGGCTTTTAAATGTTGCACTGGTAACAGTCTGGATGGGCCTTTTCCTCTTTAGCCTGGAGGACATGACATCCATGATTTCCAAAAACAATTTGAAATGTGGGCTTGTCAGATCACAGCACAATTTTGCAGTGATGAGCTGTCTTTACTGACAATGGTTTTCCAAAGAGGTCCTGAGCCCATGTAGTAATACCCTTTATACAGTCACGTTGGTTTTAATGCAGTGCAGTCCAGGGAGTCAAAGATCACAGGTATTCAATACTAGTTTCCAGCCTTGCGCCTTACACATAGACATTTCTCCATATTCTCTAAATCTGTTAAAGATATTGTGGACTGTTACCTGATCAGAGAAAGGGTTGCAGACTATTCATGACCTTTGTGTTGATGGTGTTTTTACTCATTTGCAGAAATTTTGAGTTTTCCCAATGTTCTAACCGCCCTCCAGATTCTACAATTGATCCCTTTTTATCACACAATAAAGAGACAAAAGAGACTCATGGCAATCATATATAATCACATTTCCTAGGTGAACCCAAATTGTTTAGACACCCTGAGGGCCACTTGGGACAAGAACCACAACAATGGGAACATATACTAGACCGTGTACATACCTCTTCTGCATGTGCCAGATACAGCCTTTTGCAATGGGAGATCCTACACAGAGTCCACCTCACAAATACGAGGGTGGCAAAAATATACCTGAACAGGACTGATTATTGCAATAGGTGTAAAAGATCACCTGCTGACTATGTACACATGTTCCTGTCATGCCCACAATAGTTTTTGGCTGCAATATTTAAGACAGTTGTTCACATAGTGGGTAAAACAGTAGACCCAGACCCCCTCGCTACCCTCTACAGAATCTCCTCCGCACCCAATATGCCCAAGGTTGCACAACAAGTCCTTGCTTTTACCACCTTACTTGCTAGGAGACTCTTGCTCCTTAAGTGGATGTGCTCCTCCCCTCCTAGCCATAATAGATGGATTCATGAGATACTGCAGTGCATCCTTACGTACTAAAGTTTGTTTTGGAGTTCCTCAAGGTTCTGTGCTTGGACCAATCCTATTTACTCTATATATGCTTCCTTTAGGTAACATCATTAGAAATCACTCTGTAAATTTCCATTGTTATGCGGATGATACACAGTTGTATTTATCTATGAAGCCAGAAGAAAGTAATCAATTAACTAAACTTCATAATTGCCCTAAAGACATAAAAACCTGGATGAGCACCAATTTCCTGATGTTAAATTCAGACAAAACTGAAGTTATTGTTCTTGGCCCCAAACAACTCAGAGACTCTTTATTTGATGACATAGTTTCTCTAGATGGCATTGCTCTGGCCTCTAGCACTACCGTAAGAAACCTCGGAGTAATATTTGATCAAGATTTGTCTTTTAATTCTCATTTAAAACAAACCTCACGGACTGCATTTTTTCATCTGCGTAATATTGCGAAAATTAGGCCTATCCTGACCCGAAAAGATGCAGAAAAATTGGTCCACGCTTTTGTTACCTCAAGGCTGGATTACTGTAACTCTCTATTATCTGGTAGCTCTAGTAAGTCCTTAAAAACTCTCCAGCTAATTCAGAATGCAGCAGCACGTGTACTAACAGGAACTAAGAAACGAGATCATATTTCTCCTGTTTTAGCTTCTCTGCACTGGCTCCCTGTAAAATCCAGAATTGAATTTAAAATCCTACTGTTAACTCATAAGGTTTTAAATGGTCAGGCTCCGTCACATCTTAGAGAGCTCATAGTGCCTTATTATCCCACCAGAACACTGCGCTCTGAGAACGCAGGGTTACTCGTGGTCCCTAAAGTCTCCAAAAGTAGATCAGGAGCCAGAGCCTTCAGCTATCAGGCTCCTCTCCTGTGGAATCATCTTCCTGTTGCGGTCCGGGAGGCAGACACCGTCTCCAAATTTAAGACTAGACTTAAGACTTTCCTCTTTGATAAAGCTTATAGTTAGGGCTGGCTCAGGCTTGCCCTGTACCAGCCCCTAGTTAGACTGACTTAGGCCTAGTCTGCCGGAGGACCCCCCTATAATATACCGGGCACCTTCTCTCCTTCTCTCTTTCTCTCTCTCTCTCTCTCTCTCTCGTATTCTATTACTGCATCTTGCTAACTCGGCCATTCTGGATGTCACTAACTCAGCTTCTTCTCCGGAGCCTTTGTGCTCCACTGTCTCTCAGGTTAACTCGTATTGCAGCAGTGCCTGGATAGTGTGACGTGTGTGGCTGTGCTGCTGTCGTGGTCCTGCCAGATGCCTCCTGCTGCTGCTGTTATCATTAGTCATACTTCTACTGTTATTATACACATATGATTATTGTCACACATGTATACTATCAGATATTAATATATTATTATTAATTATAATATTATTACTTTCATTAATGTTGTTGTAAGCTACTGCCATTACCGTCTATCCTGCATCTCCCTCTGTCTCTGTCTCTGTCTCTCTCTCTCTCTCTCTGTCTCATTGTGTCATAGCCTACGGTTTACTGTTAATTTATCATGTTGATCTGTTCTGTACGACATCTATTGCACGTCTGTCCGTCCTGGAAGAGGGATCCCTCCTCAGTTGCTCTTCCTGAGGTTTCTACCATTTTTTTTTCCCCCGTTAAAGGGTTTTTTTTTGGGGAGTTTTTCCTTATCCGCTGTGAGGGTCCAAAGGACAGAGGGATGTCGTATGCTGTAAAGCCCTGTGAGGCAAATTGTGATTTGTGATATTGGGCTTTATAAATAAAACTGATTGATTGATTGATTGTTCAGGCTTGAGAGGATCAGATTCTCTCTGAAGGGATTCTTAAGACTTTCTACAAAATTTGGAAACCCTTTTTAATTCTTAACATATATTGACTCATTGACTATCAATGAGTGGGATGGGGTTATTATAGGCATCACAGAAACCTGTTTCTTTCACTGTTTTTGTGAACGCTGTTAATTTCTGGATAAAAACTAATAAAGAGGGGGAAGACCATATTATGGATGTTTGATGGTGAAATCCCTAAATTTCGAAAAATGAAATGTTTTTTTAAGTGTTGGACTGTTTGCCCATACAGTTTTTCACAATGAGACAATCCTTGTTTGCGACGAACTCAGCGTTTCGTGGATGCCCCATTATGATACTTTAATCCATCACCAGTTAACCTGTTTGCATGTGGAATGTTCCAGGTGTTTCTTTTTTTAACATTCTACAACTTTCCCAGTCTTTTGTTCTTTCCCAACTTCTTCTCAATGAGATTATATTTACAAAAAACAATAAAGTCTATCAGTATGATCATTAAATATCCTATATTTGTACTAGATTCAATTGAATATAGGTAGAAAAGGATTTGCAAATCATTGCATTCTGTTTTTATTTCCATTTTACACAACATCCCAACTGTATATTATTTTGTCACTTTCTGTCACTTTTGTCAAAAAGCAACAAACCACTTTCAGCAGCGATTTACATGAGTTTGAGTCAGTCAGCATGACAGTTTACTTAACATTAGTTTTTCGTTCTTGACATATAGTTAGTGTCTTGTGAGTCCCAGTGCAATACTGAATCACTGGAAAAGTATTTAAATTGACTATAACATGAAAATCCATCTGGACTGTCCTTTAAATAAGCATCTTTCATTTGTCCTGATGAATCAGGTACCATCGTGTGTGGGTCCAAGCCACCACAAGAAACTTTTAAATAAAGAGTATGACTTCTATTGAAGGTTGAAACAGACATATGTGTCGTTGGGTTTTAATTCCACATTCCTTTATGCAAAATCCCTTATGATACAAATCCTCTCAGTGCTGATTACTGACTGGCATCACTTACCAGAAACAGTTGACTCTGTCCTGCGAGTAGTCAAACTGGACTGCAGAGCAGGCTCTTAGATCCAGGGTTCGAATGGGCTCCTCACACTGCAACAGAGACACTACAGCTGTACACGTACCCACTACAAGCCCCACATGTTGTTTTTCTGGTGTGACTAGAAGCAGCTTAAACTTAAAGGACAAAGCCTGTATTTTGCACTTTGAGCCCTATTTCTGGGTTGCTTATGATGAAATAGAGTGGTTAAAACCAAAATAGTGACGATTGCTCATTTGTGGAGAATTTGGCTTTTCCCTGCCTGGCTTAACACTGCTGCCTATGGCCATGTGTGAACCTGTCCTAAAACCACCCTAAACGTTCGTTTTCAAAGACAGAGTGGTCAGTGGTGTTCATTGATGTTCTGACATAAAAATCGTAGCAAACTGTGGTTTCCGTGATGATTTATTTGACATTTTGTTTAATCCTTTGGTTTTCTATTGAAGCCTTATTGTCTTTTGGTAGTAATCCTCCACTGTAAACGGAAAGGGGGTTGTTTACAACAAGGTTGTAGTCATTGTAGTCTTTTAGCTCAGCGAAAGTGCCGGCTCGACAGTGCTATGTGCGCTCCTGGAGGAAGAACGAGAACGAACGAAAAAGTTTTGTAATAAGTTTAAACAACTGCACAATGGATTACTCGCTTGTAGACAACCTTCGCAGTACGATGCCTTTGAACACAACGTCAAAACATCAACGAACACCACTGACCACTCAGTGTGTTTCATGGATTTGAAAACGAACAGTGGTTTTAGGACAGATATACACATGGCCATAGGCAGCAGTGTTAAGCCAGGCAGGTGAAAGCCAAATTCTCCAAAAATGAGCAATCGTCACTATTTTGGTCTTAACCACTCTATTTCATCATAAACAACCCAGAAATGGGGCTCAAAGTGCAAAATACTGGACTTCTCCTTTAATACAACTGCTCTATACAAATATTGTAATCAGATACAATGGTGACATTCTGAAAAAGCACAATTAGCACACCATGTCCCAAAGCTGAAGGAAGACTCACCATATTGTCTTTGAAGTATTTGAGTTCATATCTGTTGAGTGTGAACCACCTCTGTCTCCAGCTCTGCAAAAAGGTTTAACAGTGGATGTATTTAAGTAAACACTGAACCACAAGTTTCTTAAAGAATCCTGCTACACTTGATAATACTTTGAAAACAGAATTCCTGATAAAAGCTGATTTGTGTTCAGACACTCCCATACAGTTCCACTGCTCTTACCTTCACAATTGCTCCTTGTTTCACCAGATAGCCTTCCTTTGTGCCCAGCTGAAAATACATGCTTTGTGTTAGTAGAAAAACAATTCTACTGGGAGGGAAATATTGACTTTCAGGGATAATTCTGGTTAATTGAAACTTGGATCTGGGTCAAAATTAGGGCTGGGTACAGTGGCATGCAAGAGTTTGGGCACCCCCGGTTAAATTTTCTCTTACTGTGAATAGTTAAGTAAGTACAAAATGAACTGATCCCCAAAAGGCATGACGTTAAAAATTAAACATGCTTGTCAACATTTTCAGCAAGATTACTGTATTCTAAATACTTTGACTTTTGAAACCTTGTCCTAACAATCAAAAGCCATGGGCTCCTCTAAACAGCTGCGGAGCACTCTGAAAACTAAAATAATTACCAAAATAATTGATGCCCACAAAGCAGCAAAAGGTGATGGAAAGATAGCAAAGTGTTTTCAGGTAGCTGTTTCCTCAGTTTGTAATGTAATTAAGAAATGGCAGTTAACAGTAGCTGTTTAGTAGTGGTCAAGTTAAGGTCTGGAAGACCAAGAAAATTTTCTGAGAGAGCTGCTCGTAGGATTGTTAGAAAGGCAAGTCCAAACCCTTGTTTGACTGCAAAAGACCTGCAGGAAGATTTATCAGACTCTGGAGTGGTGGTTCACAGAAGAGTCATCAGAAGAAAACATCTCCTATGTCCTCACCACAAAATTCAGTGTCAGAAGTTTGCAAAGGAACATCGAAACAAGCCTGATGCTCTTGGGGAACAAGTCCTGTGGACTGATGAAGTTAAAATAGAACTTTTTGGATGCAATGAGCAAAGGTGTGCTTGAAGAAAAAGTGGGAAAATGATCTTGAGAACTATGTTTTTTTAAGCTTTCCACCACATCTCATAGTTCTTCATCAGTGAACAAAGTTGTCGGTATGTAAGTATGGAACTCCCATCACATGATAACATAGGTGGTTGAAGATGGTAACTTCTGTCTATGTTCAAAGACGCTCTCTGGTGTCACATTTGAATGTCCTCCTTGATCCTTCTCTGGTTGTTCACTGACTACTGCTCCATGAGCTTCGACCTCTTCCAGTGGATGCAGTGAGTGGTTCTGCTCTGATGTTCATTCAATCAGGGGTGGGGGTCCTATCTGTATGGTGCTGCTGCAGAGATTTTAAGGCTGAATGGTTTTTGGTTGAATGGTTTTAGCATAACATTATGTCACAGGGAAGGTAACCTTTGACCTTTTGATCATTTTATTCTATTTGACATTTGTGTGGAATTATTTGAATTAGTGTCTAAATTCTTGTGTTTCTTCTTTCTGCTGTTTCTTTCATTTGCTTGTAGAAATTTGTCTTTGTATAAGAAATAACTTGCAGATCTGAGGTCATGTGAGGGCGACTGAGTCAACAACTGCATTTGCTGGTGGTAAGAGATGTGGTTGAATGCTCATCTTCAGCTTGGGGTGCTCCAATGGCCAAATGGTTAAGATGCATACCACATAACTCTATAATCCAGAACCATCTTTTAAGGCTGGCTTAAAGAAAGTTCAAAGTGACCCCTCCTGTAGGTCACTTTGATCACATCACAGAGGTATTGTGATATATTTTGCTATCAGCCGCTCACAGATGTGTGCAGTAGGTGTCATACCGATGGAGCAGTTGGCACCAGATCATTTTCTGTGCGTCCTGTCTGTATGGCTGTGTGAACTCGCACTGACTCATAGATGGATGGCTCCTCCACACGCCATGGGTATGGACACTTCAGCACGATGAGGGTTCCTGGTATAGAAGCAGGAGGAGGTTACAGGTCTGACTATCTGACACTAAAACACACAAGGAGTACAATATCCAACAACACAAAGTCTTTGGCATGGTCAAGAAACTGCTACCTCCACAACGAAAGCATTAAACTAGAAAGATGGCCAACAGAGCAATATGTTGTTTCACTGTATGAGTTGGTAACATGCAATAAACTTGTAAGTAAGAGGTTCTGAAGTTGTGCATACCTGCGTCACTGCCAAGCAGAGGCTGGTTAGCAAAGTGGTTAACGAAGTCTTGAAGGGTGGCAAACTCATTAAACCCAAACACATAAGCGTTGTTTCTGCGTGTCACATGAAAATGCTTGACAGAATCCTTCGCCCTGTGTGTCAAATGAAAAACAAACATTTAATGTTGCACTTTAAAGTCGTTAACATGCAAAAATACAGTAATCTTAGTATTCTGCCAATAATTGTTAGATTGTTTCCTATCTTAGCTTATAAAAGCACATCAGGGTCCTGCAGGGTTTGATTTTTTCAAGACCCAAATTGGCATCACAATGTACAAAAATGCACTCACACTGCCATCGGCACATATGATCGCAACCTGACACAACCCATCAACACATAATTTTGGCCTGACCCGAAACCACATATCCTATAATAATCATGTGCTGTACAAATAATTTGATAAGGCAGCACATGTAAGGTGATCATTTTGGGACCTTTGATACATGTTTGAAGCTCAGATAATAAAGGCATTCCATATTACAGATCACTGAGCAGACACACAAAGTCAGCAGTTGTTAAAACTTTAAATTACTATTATTCTACTTTTATTTTAATATATTTATCACCTAACACCCTTGAGCCCACTTTCATGCTTTTTGTTTTACCCAGAACTGAACCAAGAAATAAAATTATGTCAAGCACCCACTAATCCCTTTTTGTGGGTCACCCACTGGGCACCTGCAGGTACCTGACCCAATGTGGGACTTGCAGGGAAATTAAGACACGTGGCTGGGAGACAAGTGCGATATTCACACACTTACTTTTTTGTGTAACCTGTGAATTAAAAAGTATAACCACTGATCATCCCTGGCTGACATCAATTTATATACCTTGAGAACTTCAGATGTTGCATGGCACAAGTAGAATTAAACACGACTAAAGAAGCAAACACACACTAGGAGACTAATTATAGAGTGCCAAAGTCACGCCCCTTCCGGTAGAGCTCATGGGACCTTAGATCGGAAAAAACATGAATGGCAGTGAATGGGGAGAGCAATATTATCTTTTGTTCCCGTTTGAGTTACATGAAATCTAAATATGTTGTTAATGAATTTAAAACATACATTTTAAGCTCAAGAAAGTCATACATTGTGGTAAAACTTTTGAGATATAAGCTTTTTAATTAGAAAGACTCAAGAGTACACAGGAGGAGGTCGCGTATGTGACGTCATAGCTTTCGCTCGCTTCTTGCAGCTTGGCCTCCCCGCTGAAATTCCACTGTTTTATGATAAATCAATTTATGATTGAAAATGTCTGTGTGTTTTGTGCCAGGTTGCAGTCACTCCAAGCTGCAGGAAGCGAGCGAAAGCTATGATGTCACACACATGACCGCCTCCTGTATAGTCTTTCTAATTACGTTTTTTCAAAAGCAAAAGCAAAAGAGGTTAGGTAATTCACTTTAGCATCTGTTGGACTACTTTAATGACATCTATTATGCTCAATTTCAGATACTTGTAATTTGGATTTTGACTAGAACATGTTTACATGCAAAATGTTCATAATTTTCACATCTCCCCTCGTAGTCACCGCAGTTTCAAAACAAGTGTCACCAATTCAGTATCTGACCAAATGTCTTCTCTTCTGTCCCTGGGATATGATGCTGAATAATGGCCGGAAAAGTGTTTTTGAGGAGCAATCTGATATCACAGTGAAGCTGACCTTTGACCATTTGGATATAAAATGTCTTCACGTCATCATTTTATCCTGTTAGACATTTTTATGAAACTTTGTCATAATTAGCAAGTAAATTCTTGAGATATGGTCAAAAGCATGTTTTGTGAGGTCAAAGTGACCTTTGACCACCAAATTCAATTTAGTTAATTGTGGAGTCCATTTGGACGTTTTGAGTGTATGAGATATTGTGTTGGCGCGGATACATTAAAACACTTTTTTTTTTTCTTATACTGTCTGTGCTGGAACACCTGTGTCCATCCTCTGTTTTAGCACCTGTCTCATTAAAGGGATAGTGCACCCAAAAATGAAAATTCAGCCATTATCTACTCGCCCATATGCTGATGGAGGCTCAGGTGAAGTTTTAGAGCGCACACACATGAGCATGGTGCACAGAGAGGCAGTTAGAGCTACAGGCTACAATGAGGCTAAAAACAGAGTTCAAATGACGTTTTTCCAAACAACTTTTTATGTTGGGGCTTCAGGACACTTGGATCACTACGGACGAGCAGTATGGAGATATTTTGTGGTTTTTATTATGTGTTTTTGGACGTTTGTATCTGGGGCACCGTAAGCCTCCATTAGGTGGAGTTGTGCTGCTACCCACTCTCCCCTTGGATCTCTGCAAGTGTTGTGAGGACTCTAAAACTTCACCTGAGCCTCCATCGGCATATGGGTGAGTAGATAATGGCTGAATTTTCATTTCTGAGTGCACTATCCCTTTAAGCCCCCTCAAAAAATGCCCACTCTGCACTGATTGGTCAGCATTTCCAGGTGTTCCACATCTGTGCTCTTGGCGTCCTAGCTGCGTCTGCACTGTAATCGCAGCTAGGGAATGACTGTAACAGAATGGCATCACTTTCTACCATGAAAAATCCATAAAATCTTCTAAACACAAACTGACTTGTTTCAGCACGAATATGATCCAAAATCAAGGTGAAAATAACAACATCAGCAACCAAGATCAGATGTTTCCCTAATGTTAGCATGTAGCGACATGTAGCAGTGTATGTAATGTAAAGACTTGATGTAGTATGCCTGGAGCAGATGACCATATCAAGAAATCCCTAATGATCTGATGTCAGCTTGTAGCCAGAGTAGAAAAAAAAACTGTTGGAAAAAGAGTATTCAGAACGGTCTGAAGCCTGAGATGTTTGCTCACAGGGATTACTTGTACATGCATTTACCTACCATTTGACATTATAACATATGACAGAAAATAAGCACAATAAGTCCCCTTTTAAGTTGGTTCTACACAGAGTTCTACCACCAGTGATCTCTTGTGTCAATACCATGGTGTGTTTGGTTAGTTAGAATGATGGTGCTATCGGCAGACTGACCTGACAGACAGAGCAAAGCAGCCTGGTCCCTCATTACTGTTTCTCAGGAGATAACTTCCATCAGTCCCATTGGACAAGAGAAGGGCCTCTGCAGCATGGCGGGACAGGTCGTAGTGGTACCACCTTCAACAAAAGGAACAAGAAAGAACCTCTGACACAGTACTGTGGGTGGTGGACTGGGAAGCACTCTTGATTCATTCAGTGTCTTGTGGAAAAAGGGATCAATTCAATTGCCACATTCTTTGAGGAAAATATGATCACACAATGACTTCATGCTGCAATATCAACATGATCCAACAGCTTGGAGCCCACAGTGTTTATAGCAAGGCCTATGATGCCTCTGTGCTTTCCCTCCCCTTTCTCCTCTTCATTTTCTGTTAGAGATGTACAGTTTAATGGGTGTTCCAAAGCCTCTGCTGCTCTGTATGGAATCCATACTGGTCCACATCAATCACTTAAACACTGAGATGAGAAACAGGAACGTCCACATTCACTTGCATTAAGGTGAGCTGCAAGCATTCATGATTGTGCAGAGCTGAAGTCTAGTTTCAGTTCAAATATTACAGATTCATAATAGAATATTGCAGATAATTACTGAAGCCTGAGCTTAAGGATATTCATAGACATATCATCAAAGACTAAACTGTTTATCAAACTTAAAAACTCCAATGTTTTCCAAACCAATCCAATGTCCCAGTCTTCAAAGTTACCTCTTATAAGTTGTCTTTGATTGAACCCTTATTTTCTTTTTCTTTCTTTTTCTTAATCAGTATTACAATATTATAAACATAATTTTTCAAAAGGAATGAATGAATCAATCAATCAATTTTATTTATAAAGCCAAATATCACATATCACAATTTGCCTCACAGGGCTTTACAGCATACGACATCCCTCTGTCCTTATGACCCTCTCAGCGGATAAGGAAAAACTCCCCAAAAAAACCCTTTAACGGGGAAAAAAAACAGTAGAAACCTCAGGAAGAGCAACTGAGGAGGGATCCCTCTTCCAGGACGGACAGACGTGCAATAGATGTCGTACAGAACAGATCAGCATAATAAATTAACAGTAATCCGTATGACACAATGAGACAGAGAGAGAGACAGAGGGAGAGAGAGAGAGAGAGAGAGAGAGAGAGAGAGAGAGAGAGGTCTGTTCCATTGGACTGGAATCAGCTCAGATGTTGACCTTTTAAAATGGACTGTGTATCACCCAATTTACTCACTAAAGCCCAGTTACACAAGGGGAATTCATGCTGTTGAACATTAACAGGCCGACTTGACAGTTTTTCATGACAGGGCACGAGACAGCCCAATGGAGGAAGCTAGCTGTACTCTAGTGCTGCACCACCAAATTTTATTGAACCCTGTTGGAGAACAAACTGCTGCACAAAACAGGTGAGGTTTGCAGATAACTGAATAAGTGAACTGTTTGGACTTATTTTCCTGTTAGCGACCAAGCTAACCACTACAGTGCATTCATAGGCTACTGAATATAGAAAACAGGGGTGTACCAATCAACATAACATATCCAGTAAAATCATCAACAAAGCATTTAGCAACTCGAGCATTAAAGTTCATTGATCTTGGAAAAAGTAGTAGACAAAATAATCTTGACTCCAGGTCCACTAGCTATTTATTTCTGGAGTTCACAGTCTTCATCAGACTTCTCCCACAGTTGACAACCATGAGGTGGTCTGGAAAAAGCTTTTAATTACAGCTTGCTCAGAAATATTAATTTGTACAGAAGAATTCCACCATAATGGGATATCATCGTGATACAATACCTCTTACAATTCAAACTAAATGTTGATTTATTGCCCAGCCCTGGCAGGAGATGACCTTTTCAGAGGTTTTCAGAGGAAATGGGGAAGATTTTTGCTGTTTAACAGCGCTCAGACTGAAAGACAGATGCAGAGGAAACCAGTAAAGGGATGTGAAAGTTGATTATTTGCATTACAAGCTGCTGAGATTATGCAAAAAAAAGGAGTTGAAAGTCTGTAAACTCTGTAAAAATATGATAGAGGATTATGGATGTTCTGTGTTTGTGCAAAGCGGAGGTAATCAATCCTAAAACAAAATTAAAAAAAGTTCACTCATCCTCATTGCATCTGTTAAATTTAAATCTAATTTAAGTGCAAGTATCATATTTCAGGACCAGGGGCAGAGCCAGATGTCATAAACATTCAGAGCTCAGCTTAAACCAGGCCCGACGTCAGGGGGGAACAAAGGGTACAGATGACCCCGGTCCAAGGCCAAGGGAAGGGGGGCATGAAAAGGTCTATGGTTGATTAACCATTATTGTGTAAAGGACCACATATGGTATATTTTGAAAGTCAAGCTGAGGGTCGATTAAAATTGGTCTGTGGGCCACAATTGGCCCCCGGACACACAATTTGACCGATGTCTGATAAAACTAGCATCTTTCAGTCAAGATTTGATCTTATGATTTAATGCCTTCTAGTCATTTCTTCAGCTTGATTTAAACTTTCTCTACTCATTCACTGGAGGGCATTTTTGGCAATAAATAAAAAATAAAAATACATGTGGAAATATGATTAACTGGATGATAATTTCAGGACATCGAAAACTTTGCATTGTTAATGTGGAGGAGGGGCCCACTTTAGAAAATGTTGCCCTCCTGCCCATATTTCCTAACAGCTGGCCCCACCTAATTTTAGTGATCATCAAGTCTTTTCTGTAGTCGAGTTATCATTATATTTTGCATGCATACTCTTATCGTGATGGCTCACCAGCAGATGGAGACATGAAATAGAATGCTTTTCAATGTATGTAATATTCACTCATTGTGCAAAATCCTAAATTTACAAGAATAAAGTCGTAAATATACAAGAATAAAGTTGTAAATCTATGAGAAAAAAGTCATAATCTACGAGAATAAATTCCTACATATACAAGAATAAAGTTGTATTCTACGAGAATAAAGTCCTAAATATACAAGAATAAAGTTGTAATCTATGAGAAGAAAGTCATAATCCACGAGAATAAAGTCCTAAATATACAAGAATAAAGTTGTATTCTATGAGAATAAAGTCCTACATATACAAGAATAAAGTTGTATTCTACGAGAATAAATTCCTACATATACAAGAATAAAGTTGTATTCTACGAGAATAAAGTCATAAACTACAAGAATAAAGTCCTAAATATACAAGAATAAAGTTGTATTATATGAGAATAAAGTCCTATATATACAAGAATAAAGTTGTATTCTACGAGAATAAAGTCATAAACTACGAGAATAAAGTCCTAAATAAACAAGAATAAAGTTGTATTCTACGAGAATAAAGTCATAATCTACGAGAATAAAGTCCTAAATATACAAGAATAAAGTTGTATTCTACGAGAATAAAGTCCTACATATACAAGAATAAAGTTGTATTCTACAAGACTAAAGTCCTAAATATACAAGAATAAAGTTGTAAATCTATGAGAATAAAGTCATAAACTATGACAATAAAGTCATAATATTACGAGAATTAAGTCCTAAATCTACAAGAAAAAAAGTTGTAAATCTACGCCTTGCCTAGTAATATAATGCATTACCAACAAGATTTCAAGTCATATTATTAGATTTACAATGTCAAGTAATATGTTACCACGCGAAGACTGGGTGACTTTTCTTCATCTGAAATAACAAGTCTAATTTTGTAATATTTCGACTTTTTTTTGTAAATATATGACTCTGTTCTCGTTACATTATTACTATTTTCATAGATTTATGACTTTATTCTCACTGATTTATGACTTTATTATCGTAATATTTTGACTTTTTTCCTCCTAGATTAATGACTTTATTCTGGAAATCTAAATTGTTGTTTTTGTCTTTTTTAACATGACCCTAATCCTCCCTCTTACACTTCTCAGCTGAGCTGTTGTATTAGATCACAATAGATTTCATAAGAGTACATGATTAAGCTGCCACTGGGTGTACAGCAAACATTAGTTTGATTCTACTTTACCTTGCCATTTGCAAATCATGTTTCAGAAGTGTAACAGCTGCACACTGAACCAGTTCAACATTCTTTCTGACCAGGAACTTATGTGTTATGAAAACGTTACTGTGACAGATAATCACTTGACTTAAGTTAAAACAATTTCCTGTTTTGTTTTTTTTTTCTCTAGTAAATGATATGTTTATAGTCCTCTTTATAGACCATACAAAATGCAAACAGTACAATGATTTTAAGAGGCTACTAATCTATGCAAAGTAGTCGCGCGCCGTAGGAAAAAAAATCGAGAAGTGGTAAGAATCTGTCAGGGTAATGGCACAGGGTTATATTCCGTCGAAACAGTCTACTGTTTAGTGACTTTGCCTACATCTGCTACAGAGTGAACAGATAACACTTTAAATTGCGTTTTTATACGGACTCTGGTTCAGTTTGATAATTGAGGTCCGTGCCTCGTCTTCTTCTGGCAGCGTGTTGTTCTCTAACAGGTAAAAGAGGACAGTAGAAAGCTTTAAGTTGCATCAACATTAAACTTCCCAGACGGTCTTACCCCAGAGACTCTAACTCGTCGCTCATGTCCTCGGTGGATGCATCACTGTAGAAACTCATCTCTCCACCAGGATTCAGTGTGGCAGTGAGGAAGTCCTCTGAAGGCGCAGACTGAAGTGAAAGCTGTCACTTTGAGTCAGACACGCCTTAAGAGGAAACAGGCTTTACTAAGTCTCTGTTAGTAATGTTGTTATGCAGTGGTGGAATGTAAATAAGTAGTTCTGAGGTAACTGTAATTTCCATTTTATGCTGCTGTATACTTCCACTCCACTTCATTTTAGAGGAAAATATCCTCCAGTTTATTTATCTTTAAAGCTTTAGTTATTAGTTACTACTTAAAAGAAACATAATTTAATCATAGGTTATGTCAGCCAGTCATATATAGAGCAATTAAAATGAGCTCCACTTTTACCAGCTGCAGCATTTAAATGATGTACATATGAATGAGTCAATAATTATAGTCCAATAATATAATATGATTCTGAAAAGGACCATTCTGCATCATGAGTATTTTTATTTTTAATAATAGGGCGGCAGTAGCTCAGTCCATAGGAACCAAAGGGTTGCCATTTCAAGTCCCCATACCTCATCTGAAGAGGTGCTGGTTTATTTCCTGTGCACTGCCAAGGTGCCCTTGAGCAAGGCACTGAACCCCCACTTGCTCAGTGTGTCTGTCCAAGGCAGCCCCCTCACCCTGACATCTCTACATTTAAAGCATGTATATGGGTTCTGTTTGTGCAGGTGTGTATTTAAGGCCTGTGTGTAAATTGAATTTTCCCCAGTATATCATCTCCCTCTTCTTCTTCTTCTTCTTCTTCTTAATACTCTAAAGGTGCAGTGTGTAGGATTTAGGTGGCTATATTGGCAGAAACTGAATACAATATTCATAGCTAATGCTGCTACTTCAGTGTATAATTACCTGAAAATAAGAATTGTTGTGTTTCCATTACCTTATACTAATAATAATAATAATAATAATAATAATAATACATTGGATTTATATGGCATTTTTCTGGATACTCAAAGATGCTTTACAGAGAACAACAACAGAAAAAAATGAAATAATCCATTAGAAGGGAAACAATACAGAGAGGGAGAAGAAAACAACAGTTTTTTGGAGGTTGTAGGCAGTGTTGAAGAGGTGTGTTTGAGGGATTTCTTGAAGCGAGAGAGTCAGGGGGCAGGAGGTTGGTATCAACAGGGCTGAGGGTGAAAGAGGGAGTGTGCTTGTGGAGGAGCTCAGACTTACAGGGGTCCACCATGTTGTTTCTACAGCAGCCCAGAATGAACAAATCAAACACTGACTCTAAATAGGGTAATTTCACATCAGCCACCATAGTTCTCCGAAATTCTTAACAAACGGGAGAAGTTTCAGTTGGTTGCAATCTGCAACCTCACCACTAGATTCCGCTAAATCCCACACACTAAACATTTAAGTAGACTATATTTTGGTGTTAATACTTTTGTGCTTTTACTTACATAAGATCTTGAATGCAGGATGTTTGAATGCATTATGTTTACACTGTAGTGTTCCTACTTTATTCAAGTAAAAGATCTGACTATTTCTTCTGCCACTGGTGGTGTGTTCTCCGCTTTACATTCACGCTTACGACATGTTTGACTTTCCATGCCACCGAATATTTCAGAGGTGGAAATAACGTCAGCTGTAGGCAGACTGGTGACTTATTGCATTCCATTCATTCAGCTGGCACTTTTATCCAAAGTGACTTACAATTAGTGCATCCAACCACAAGGGTGTCATCACAGTAGGGTTTTGTTTTTTCATGGACCAGTTGGTGCAGTCCGAACAGATGAGTTTGCGAAGGAAGATGTGCAGACTTTCTCCTGGGCTGATGTCAATCCACCATTGTGGCTTAAACTTGATTTATATAGCAGCTTTCTAAACACAGTTACAAAGTGCTGTACAATAAAACTAAATACATTTAAAACACGGGGAAAAGAAACTAAAATGTCATTCAGTAAAATATAAGATAAAGAAGGCCAGAATTAAAATCAGCGAGATGGTGATGAAATAGACAGACAGCTCAGATAAACTCAGGATATGCTTTCTGATAGAAGTATGTTTTAGGAGATACTTAAATGAAGCCAGTGACTCACACAGCCTCGTTCCAGAGCCGCGGGGCCCTGCTGGCAAAAGCTCTGTCCCCTTTAGTCTTCAGTCTGGACTCTGGAGCAAGCATAGGACCTATGCCTGAGGATCTCAAACTACGCATACATGTCTGAAATGTAGTCTGGAGCCAGGCTATGAAGAGCCTTGAAAGTATCAATAGGGTTTTGAAGTCAATCCTGAAACAAACAGGAAGCCAATGTAAAGAGGCTAAAACTGGTGTGATGTGATAGTAGTTCTTGGTTCTGGTTTAAAGTCTTGTGGCTGAGTTCTGTACAATCTGTAGTCATTGCAAGGTTTTTTGATTAACACAGGAATAGAGGCTGTTGCACTAATCAAGGAGTGGAGAGATAAAAGTATGTACAACTGTTTCTGTATCTCTAAAAGTTCAAATACATCTTGTTTTAGCAGTATTTATATGGTAATAAAAACATGATTGGTCAAGCTTAGCTTATGTTGTTCAAAACATAAAATACTATGTAACATGACACCAAGATTTCTTGCAACAGGCTTTATGTGTTGTGACAGGTAACCACTAGATGGCAGTATTTATTTTGTGATATGCTGTGACCAAATGACAAGAATCTAGCTGCAGAAAATTTTCGACATCCAGTTTTTAAAATCATACTAGTCCATACCCATTGAGTACAGCATACCATACCATGACTTCGTCATACCAACATGGGGTCGCAGGGGGAGCCACAGCGATCGGTCGCATTTTAGCCATTTAAGCATTTATCTGTTGTTATAGCACCACCCAGTTGCCAATTAGAGTTAAATTTCTCCAGTCACCTTGAGGCGTCCTGTTCTACATATCTACCAAGTTTAGTAAAAATCGATATGGCGGTTAGGCCTAGATAAGAAATTAGCTCTCTAGCGCCCCCATTTTGTTTGATGGGGTCAATAATGGAGGGGTCCCCTCAGATTATGTGTGGTCATATGCCTACAAAGTTGCGTGGTGATGGGTGAAACCCTTGAGATGTTATACACCTTTATGTGATGAGCCACGCCCTCCGCAATATTCATTGCCTTATAGAAGCTC